GGCCTGTTGTTCTCCTTCTCTGTCCCTCTAACCGTCATCAGTTACCTATGTCTACCATGCACTCCCCTTGCATAGCTTCGAGCATGCTAGAAAAAGGGCTCGCCTATCATTCAATATGTGTTTAACACAGTTACCATACGTTGCTTTTGAATACAAGGCCAAAGGTCTACGGTCTTGGCTGTCCCGCGAGTGATTTTCTTTGACTACAAAGCAAACAATGAGGGCACAATTAGCTACGACAGGAAAAGAAAATGGAAAGAGAAATGAAAAGAAAAAAGAAAAGAGACAAGAAAAGAAAGAAGAGAAAACTCACGAGGACGCTGAAAGAAAGAAATGAGGGCCAGGTGCAAAAGCGATCATGCCCAATTGGCCCAAACTTTGGCCTTGCCACGCAGCTCGGCCGGTCACACTCTGTTCTTCACCCACACCCGCCCTTGCCCCCATCCCATGGACGACAAGGTGTGGTGGACTTGGCCAGGTAAGGCAGGCCAGGGGGGCCAACCCTGCAGCGCAGCCCCTGGTCAATACAAATCATTTTCGTGGCGGTACAGCAAGTTGTCCCTAGCGTTCACTGGCAGGACAAGTACTTGATACAATGAAAATTCCAACAGAAAATCGGGATGATCGTCTGCCCCAGTAACAATGTCGGCCCTGCTTCACGCTCGACAGCGTATGATTCCGACAGCCAAAAAAGTATCGTTGTCTAACCCCGACTAAGCATTGCTGTGTGTTGTATTTCGTAGATGCTGTCGTTTTCTCAGTCGTACAGAATAGATTTGCCGAGGGATGCAGTGATTTCCTCGTCATCGTGCTGGGGACGCAAAACGCCCAAGCGATAGAGGAGACACTTGAGCCGGGCGTGATTTTGGAACATAGATGCGTGGATTCTGCGTAAGCAGGACAACGTGTGTGCAGCCGTGGCGATAACTCAAACAATGACAGTATCTTCCAACTCTTTTCTTCACATATTTTGACCACTTCGTGGCAGTTGCGACCAACATGCCGCAAAAACAAACGTTCTGCTTATCTTTTCCCCTTGTTGGATAGTCACATAAGCTCTGACACGTCTCTTGTATCTGGCTCGGCCCCTGTTCTACCTTTCTCTGGATCGTACTCCCTCGCCACCTGTCTTTTCTTTCGTCTCTCCTGCCCAATTTAGCCTGTCAGCAAACGACGAGAGACACGAAACGGGTCGTGTCTAATATATCAATATGGCAGAGCAATATAGGACCTCAGCGGGATAATCCAGCTTCACGCCGAAGGAGGGGAGGAAGAAGTGAAAGCAAAGCATCTCTAAGCAAAATACTGTAGTCGAAAGGGGGGGGATGCATTTGATGACGATCTTTTTATTCTCTGCATGTTTTTCTTTCTCTCCTTTGGCCTCACCCCTCTTGCAACAAATTAGTGTGGACCGATTCTCCGTTCACGCATACCTTTGTCCTCTTGTGCTCTGAATATGTTGCAGGTATCTTGCAGAGTATCTAGCTAGGTACTCCGAGTCTTGGATTTTCCCGGGCCGGCTACAGACCGGTTCCCAGAGTGTGTTTTCCCACGGCGCGTCCATTTTAGGCGGGCATTGCATCCTTTTTGGGGTGGGATGTGCAATCTACCTCCATACTGGGTCGAGGAAAGCATGTTCGTGTAAAAGCTCCGAAGACTCGTAAAAGCGACTGGTTCAGTCGGACGGTAGAGAGTTCAGATGGAAGAAACCATTTATCTGCGAGGAGCGAAAGCAATGGTCCACGGAAATGGGGAAGGCATACGCAAACGAAAGAATGGGTTAGTTCATCCAACGAACCCAGGAAACGGGCAGCTGTTATGTAGGCTTCTTGCAACAATTACAAAAATAATAGATTGCAATAACTGTCCTTTCGTGTCGTAAAAAAAAAACACCAAAAAACAAAACTAACCTACAATGCGGTTTCAATTTTAGCATTGTCTTTCTATGATTTAGAAATCATCAATTGAGTCTTCAACCCTCGACCTCGTAATGCCAGGTTTTGTCCCTATCGTTGCCTCGTCCAACCATTTTGGGGACCATCGAATGTCCCCAACTGCCACGTAAAATGTCTCATTGGCTCACGCACTGGGGGTACTTCCACTCAGTTGGCGCGACTTGCTCCATAATTTACATCAGGGAAGGCCTCCCGTTATTTTGTTGTCAACATCAATTCTTGGCCTGGATATTGCTTTTTGCTATGTTCTCCAAATTTGAACGCTCACACCTTTGTACGGAGTACATTGTACGTCGTAATCTTTTAGTTTCGAAATACTTAATCATAAATCGGCGAGGCCAATACGATAAGGTGGCGATCAGACACGGAGCGTTGTATCAAGAACACGCAAAGACAGGAAAGACGAGACGAATCGTTTCTTGGCAGAGATTTCGAGTGATAGATCACACTCAAGTCCCATAGAGTTCAAAAGACGACAGGCGTTGTAACGCAACTCCGGGCGATCTTGTGCGCAATTCAAGGGCAAGGATGAGGCGAGCCACGAAAGAGAATTTCTGGATGCAGGAAGATGGAAGGCGAAAAGAATGTTGGAGAAGCTGTAGGCGTTGGTGTTTATTTTATTGGACACATTTCTTTTGGTTTGTCTTTTGGTTTCTCATTTTTCCTCAAATTAAAAAAGGCATTTATGTTCACAATTCAAATCAATTCACATTTTTTGCTTATTCGGCAGAGGCAAAATGGAACGATGCGGAGAACAGCGTGTAGCTGACGCTTTCCTCCTTCTTCCCTGCCTGGTCCATAAAACGACCGGTAATGATTTTCTAGAATATTTATTTCTCGCAAAAGATCAACGGTCAAAGATCATCAGTCAATGAGCAACGAGCGCGTCCATACCTGAACTCATCTTGTTGTAATCTCGATTCAAGAACCGCCCGGGTTTGGTACCATGAGAAATTGCGGCTGGGGAGAGAAGAGACAATCCGTCTAGTGATTCGTTTCGCGTTTCATGCTTCACCTCACTTGATGTGGGAGAAAAGTTGGCAGACACGTAAAGCAACCAAACTTGAGGACTCGTAAAGCTTTAATGAAAGGGAAATGACCCAAATTGGCCACCTGCTCGTACGAAAATGCGTACGCCAACCCGTTTTGTAGTGCCTTTCCTCTGTTCCTAACTTGGTTATTATTGTAGTTTTTACATTATCGGCGAGGCGTTTTATTATGTGCATCGTTGCCATGATCGTTCACTACAGCGACCCGTCTGCGTCATTCTTTCCCTGATTTTCGGGGAACCGCGTACGCCGTATTCTATACCTTGCAGAATTTTAACGGAAGATTGAAGAAATCAAGCCGTTTTATGAACTCAGGGACGATCAGGCCTCCTTTTCCTTCCAGCTCTCACTACCAATGTCAGAAGAAAATCTGGCCTGGCCAACTGATCCATCCACGGGGGCGCACCAATGCCAGGCCATCCCCAATGAACGGCTCATTTTGTCTTTTGGCCTTCTCAAACGGTAACTAGCACTATCAGCGGCTCCACCTTAACTCGGCAGCCCTAAAGTTAGTTCCCACCCTCTTGTCTCTGCCTTTTTTTTTTTTTTTTGGATGGCGCCTCGGCGCCTGATGGGTGTTCGCTGTTGCAAAAAGGCGCAGCGAAGTTATTTCAAGTCATTTACGACAGAAAACGGAGATGTGAGCACCACATCAATAAACAAATCCACGAAAATGATACGAACCTCTTCGGCAAAAAGTCACGGTGTCTTCCAAAGAGGTCTCTATAATGGCGAGCCATCCGTGTGACCGTACTCTTTTTTTGGTCCCAACAACACATGGTGCATGAAGCCGTCAACAGCGCGAAGACGATATTCAGGTTGGAGGACAGGCGGATCCGGCCCCTCAAGTTATGTGCGTCGGTCAGTAGCTATGGCGCCTTATGAATATGCAATAACTCGATAAACTGGCGGTATACGAGGCGCCGGGAAATGCTTTGGCAGTTTATGACTATTTCTGCATGTTGCACGTATTTCTTGCCGCATGTCAGAAAACGAGGCTGGAGTCATCCTGTCACTCGGACTGCGCCTCACGCCTCACACCTGAAAAAGAATCAGTCAAGGGCAAGACCGGCCAAGGAATAGGACGAGGAGTACGAAATACTCCGTACCTCTGTAAGATCCAACGTCAGGAGGACTCGGCCTCAATACGTTTTCTGAAAGAAGGACACGAAGTACAGATTAGACAGTGGCAAAACGAGACAAAATGAACAAAATTGGCAGTCGATTTTAGATAATGCTGTGACATCTGCTCTGCCGTATTTCATATGTTGATTCTTTTTTGCTTGCTCGTCTGACGGCCAATATGTTTTATTCTCTTTCGGCTGCTTGAGAGGCATACCACCGCCTCCTCGCCGGTACGTTCGCTCGTGCAGCTCCGACAAGGCGGTCGGTTTGGGCCAATGCCATCCAATGTGTACTGCGTGTACTGCACTTCGTGTCTACACTACTCCACAATCCAACTTTGTATTGAAACCGTTATTTTGATCCAACCAGTATTCTGCAGAATTAACCTGCCTTCCATTGACAACTTCCTGAAAGGTCGTGGTATTTAGCTGGTGTCGTCCTACGCGCGTTGGGAACTGCACGTGACCAATTATAGCTGGCGGGGCCAATGACCAATGGAAATGGCAATGCGGAATTGCAGCTGCCAGAGACGGCAGGTGCTCGCTTGTTTGTGGGGGGCGGCAGTTCACAATCGCCGCTTTCGCAAACCGAAACTGCGTTTGGCGACCAACTTTGACTTCTACGTTTTCCTGCCTTTTCGTGGCTTCCTATTTTGTATACAAAGCGGCCTGGACCTCCTCCATTCCTCTGTCCATCCCTCTTTCCATAGATGCTGCAAAAGTCTGGCCGGGTGCTTTCCTCAGCAGCGGCCCTTGTTTCTTCGTATTCCCCGCTCATCGCAATCACAGCATCTCCGCCACTTGCAACATCATCTCGAGTGACCCCAAACCAGCACCTCCAGCACCGTCCGCTATCCTCCTCTTCTACCACCATGGCTCCTCCCAAGTCCGCTTACGAGTTTATTGACTTTGTCAATGAATCGCCCACCCGTACGTATTAGCAGCCTTCACCTGCGCGCCACCCCTCCTGACATCTTTGTAGCTTAGTGGATATGGATATCACGACGTTATAAATGTAAGCTGACTGCCTCCTTTTTAGCGTACCACGCCGTTGCCTCGGCTGTCGCCCGCCTCGAAAAGGCCGGCTTCCGCGCCGTGAAGGAGCGTCATGACTGGTCGTCCACGCTGAAGCCCGGCGGCAAGTACTATGTCACCCGCAACGGCTCGTCCATTGCCGCCTTTGCCATTGGCGGCAAGTGGCGGCCAGGTAACCCTGTGGCCATGATTGGCGCCCACACCGACTCGCCCTGCCTGCGTCTTAAGCCGATCAGCCGCAAGTCCAACGTCGGTTTCCTGCAGGTCGGCGTCGAGGCCTACGGTGGTGGTATCTGGCACAGCTGGTTCGACCGTGACCTGAGCGTCGCCGGCCGCATCCTTGTCCGTTCCTCCGACGGCAACATTGTCCAGAAGCTCATCAAGGTCGAACGTCCCATTCTGCGCATCCCGACGCTGGCCATCCACCTCGACCGCTCGCCCGAGTTCAACCCCAACAAGGAGACGGAGCTCTTCCCCATTGCGGGCCTTGTCTCGGCCGAACTCAACAAGCCGGCTGCGGACGCCGCCAGCTTCGTGACCGACTCGGATGACAGTGCCTCAACCACGGCGGCGGCAACGGCGCCCCTGCAGCCCATGACCGAGCGCCATCACCCGGTGCTTATCGACATTATTGCCAAGGAGGCCGGCGTCACAGCCGACGACGTCGCCGACTTCGAGCTCGTGCTGTACGACACGCAGAAATCGTGCCTCGGCGGCCTGCACGAGGAGTTTATCTTCTCGCCTCGCCTCGACAACCTTGGCATGACATACTGCAGTGTCATGGGCTTGATCGACTCCGTGGCGCCTGCTGGCAGCCTCGACGACGAGTCGGCCATCCGTCTCATCAGCTGCTTCGACCACGAGGAGGTTGGCTCTCAGTCCGCGCAGGGCGCCAACTCGGACATGTTGCCCGCCATTCTTCGCCGCTTGTCGGTCGTCCCGGCCGCGTCCTCTGCGTCGTCTCAGCCCGCGTCAGCGACCGCCTTTGAGCAGACCTGCTCCACCTCGTTCCTCGTGTCCGCCGACATGGCCCACTCCGTGCACCCCAACTATGCCGGCAAGTACGAGAGCAACCACCACCCGCTCATCAACAAGGGCACCGTCATCAAGATCAACGCAAACCAGCGCTACGTCACCAACTCGCCAGGCATTGTCCTACTGCAGGAGACCGCCCGTGCTGCGGGTGTGCCCCTCCAGCTGTTTGTCGTGCGCAACGACTCATCCTGCGGCAGCACCATTGGCCCCATGCTGTCCGCCAAGATGGGCGTCCGCACGCTGGACCTGGGTAACCCGCAGCTGAGCATGCACAGCATCCGGGAGACGGGCGGTGCCTACGACGTGGAGCATGGCATCAAGCTGTTCTCTACCTTCTTCGACCGCTACTCGGCCCTCGAGGGCAAGATTCTTGTTGATTAGCCTTTCGATATTGTATTGGAATTTTGCAACTTTTCTTCTGCCTATAACAGCTGTCCATTGTTACGATTTGACACAATCATTCCGTCAACATCCCCGTATGACTATTCGAATGGCTGGCTTGTCTGGTTGGCCATTCTCATTTCGAAAGGTTGTTTAATGCTTGGCTCACTCGATCCTGCGCCTCGACTAGATCGATATGCACACGTAACCCCTTGCCCACCACCGTTTGAAACACTGCCCGTAGGTCGCTCGGCAACATGCCGGCTTCAGACGACGTTGCCACCAACCCCGTGTTCGGCCCAAAGGCTTCCAGAAGCACATCCTTGGCACCCGGACAGGCCCGTACGGAGCGATAGTACACGTCCTTGGCCAGCGCCACCATCTTCTTGTCCACGCCACGCACCCGGACACCCCTGCCATCGCGGCGGGCCGCCACAGTCGCTGATGCCATGGCCTCCACAGCCGTCAGGTGGACAAATGCTTGCCAGAGCCGTGCGTTGCCATAGCATGTGAGGTTGTAATCGCTGCTGCCGTGTCTGCCGCCCAGCGCCCGCTCAAACGCTGCGCGAGCTGCGTGACCTTGGCCGTGGCCCGACTGCAGGGCATGTCGGATAACAAAGGCACGGCTGCTCGGACAATCGTTATCCTGCGTAAGTACGACCGTGTCCAAAATCATCTGGAGGGGGTTGTCTGGCCGCAGCTGCGACAAACCCGATGTCGATGCCGGATCGATCCAAGCAAATAGACGCAGGAAGATGCCGTTTTGAGGAAACAGAGTGACCATCTTCTGCAGGGGCGCCTGTAAATCGGTCGGGCGGTATGCCCCATGCGTGGCATGGAAGTAAATAATGCGGGCTACGCACTGGAGGAACTGTTCGTGAACGACGGTCGCTGCATAACCACGGGACTGCATTTCCTCCGAAAATGTGGTCGCAATAGCCATGGCAGCTAATATATTTCCTTGTTTCGACTGGTGTTTCTGTGGCAGTTCCTTCTCATGGTCCGTGGAAGACAGGTACTCAAAGAGCACAAAAGACTGAGCGAACAGAGCGGCCCGCCGAGCATATCCTGCTGAAATTCCAAACTCCATACCTGTACGAAGCGTGTGGCGAAGCCGTAGTGACTCTGCCGGTGATATGGGCTGGTTTACTTCCCTGGCCGTTACTGGCGTATGTAGGGTGTCTTCACGAGTGGCAGACTGCAAGGCAAGACGACGGACCGCATCGTTCTTTTGTCCACTCTCCAATTCGATCCAGGCCCAGGTTTGGCGCAAGGTCAATTCAGCCTCGACATTTGCTATACCCGTACCGGTAGTGGCAGATGCTAATACAGTGCGGGCAACATCAACGTTCCCGCGTGAAGCCTCGGCCTGTGCGTATGCCTCGTATAAAGCAGTGTTTGATATATCTTGCTTGATGAGTGTTCGGGCCGCCTTTTTGACGGCAGTCGGGTTGACCATAGCATCAACAGCAAGACTGTATAACGCCAGTTCGTTGAACCCGAACAGCCGAACAAGTTGGCGTAGTGTATTGGCCACCCATGAAGGTGGCACCGGTGCCTCTACAGCAGCTGGGTTTTGCTGGCGGAGCCAGTCGGGCAAATATCGGAACCAGCGAGGATGTGAGAAGAGCACGTCGGAGGTCCTGACAATGTGGCTGCCGTCGTAAAACAGTTCCGGCGGGCTCCGACCCGCGGTGTCGAGATCATCCACCGGGCCCTCCTGTGGGGCTTCAAGTTTTATACCGTTCACACCACCTTCTCCTGAGAGGACAACAATAGCAAGGAAAGGATCGTTGCGGGCGGTCTCAATCCAACTGCTCGTGGAAAATGCCGGCGCGAGTTGGCAGAAGAGCAGGAATGCGTCGACCAGGACCGGCTTTAATATGGGCAGTAGGGAGTCTGGGATGTGAAATAAAAGCGCACGGAGGTCCGAGAAGACGGCGACACGAAAGACGTCTTCGAACCCACCGTCGTCAATGTCGTCAATGACTCTCGCCGGAAGCTTGGCAAAATTTGCCCGTTGTCGTTCAGCAACCACCCATGCTTCAAAGAGAGGTTTGTACTCGTCCATGTCGCTGGCCTCCTCCCGGTACGCAGATTTTGCAAGCTTTGCAAAGTCCAGAGTTGGGAGGCTTTGGGTTTCTACATTGTAGTCCAACAGGGCCTCCTCGGCGTCTTCGCCAGCTTGTATTTTGGCCGCATAGCTTCGCCACCCTTGTGCCCCCTCTTCGCCAATGCGTTGGATTTCGCTGTCCCAGAACTGGCCAAGGCTGGCACCCTCAACTTCCGTAGACGGCCGTGCAAAGGATGACTCCAGAGTTGCTTGCCATGCCGCAGCTGCAAGATCTCTAAAGCCAGCATCGTACATGAATCGAGTTACACGCAGGAAGACGTAAATGATTTGGGAGTAGATTTCGGCCCCTTTTGCAGCGTCGTTCGTGAGAGCAGTCGCTTCGACTTCCAGTGCCCGCAAGCGCTCTACGCAAAAGAGCTTGATACCATCAACCGTCAACGTAGACAAGTTGGTCATCTCGAAGTCAAGGCGAGCTTTCCACAGCAGAAAGCTCAGGCCGCTCCCAGAAGCATTGTTTCGGGCCAGATCGGCCCATTGCTGTGCCAGACGCTTCGGTGTCCATACTTTGGCCCCCTCTCGCATCATCGCAAGCTCTAGTCGTTCGCGTGCAGATGGGGAGTGGACCTGCCGAAGGGCTGACTCGATAATTGACATCTTCACCGACGAAATACCAGAGATCTCTTCTTTAGTTTTAGCAGGTCCACCGCTGGTTCCTAAGATTTGATCGCCATGGTCGTTTCCAAGGAGAAGGCTTTGCTGATCTTGAAGGTCGACAAGATCTAGCCATGCGTCGACGTCTTGAGGGTCGTCCTTCACCCGCTGGTTTAGTTCGGCAAGCTTTCTTCTGGTTGTGCTGTGTGCGTCATCCCTCGCGGTGAAAAAGCCATCTTCTTCTGCATCCAAGCCGTCGTCTGACGAGGCGGAGGAGGATTCAGAATCATCTTCCTCATCGCTGTTGGTACTCTGACTAGAGTCGGCCTCGTCGTCATCGCTTTCAGATTCTGGTCCACGTCTCCGCTTCTTGGTAGTACGCAGAGAGACGAACTCGCTTTCCTTTGCCGCCTCATTGTCGTTTTTGAACATGACGGCTGGTTTTCGACGCCTTAGGGACACACCATGTTCGCGACTTGGTTCTGATTTGGTCGAGCTCTGTAGGACGCGGCGCAGCAGAGAGTTGTTCTTATCACTGAAGACAGATCCTTCAGCAGATTTCGATTCAGCACCGAATATCACCTTGGAGCCGTCTTGAACAAAGGTAAACCGTTCCCGCGCGCCTAAGATACTGCGGCCATGTCTGTAGCGATGGTAAGATGGCACGCGGCGTGCGTCGTTCGTCCCAAATTGCCAAATGAGACGATCACCGCGCGTATCGAGCGCAAACAGCGCGTCGTCACTGTCACCCACAGCCTCGCGGTATATGTCATTGTGGCTGTCCCGCCGACCCTGTTTGGCCGTTTGAGAGACAACCATTTGCGTGTCATGGTGGCCACGCTGTGTATCACGTTGCGATCTGTCATCACTCCGATGACAGTGGTCGCTGGCTTTCGAGACACATCTCTCTCTGCTGCGATGCCGAGACCGCTTTTCGTCATGAGATGCGCGTCCACCTCCGTGCCCCGGACGCTCTCGATGCTGCAGGTCTTCACGGTGGTTGTGACGGCTGTGGCGACTCGAGTACCTATCCCTATCTCTGTCGTCCGGCCCCCCTTTTGGCTGATCATGGCGAGACTTCTTGTCATGATGTCTGTCGCGGTCCCGGCCGTGATCTCCCCTTTCTCGCTCACGATGTTCGTGCCGGTGACGATCGTCGTCTTCTCGGTGGGAGCGGTGACTGTGATGGCTGCCACGACTGCGGTGCTCATAGTGACGGCTCCGGAAATCCTTGCCATCAACGCCATCTGCATTGGCTATGGACAGCCCTGTTCGGCCCTCCCGGCCATCGTGCCCTCGCGAAGCCATTTGCTTATCAGGACTGTCAGAGATGCATCAAAGCGGCGCCGCAGAATGCCTTTGTGAGAGATGGGCACTTGCGGTCAGCCACGCCGACAAAAATCAATGAAGATGGTGATGGCACCGCAAACACAGACGAAGTCCGTGCTGAGATACAGTGTGTTGGCGACTTTTCGCACGGCATCAAGGCGCTTGCTTTTGGGGCAGCACACCACCAAATTTCGAATGCGACAGCCTTGATCCAACGGAGGCGCGTGTGTGGCGGGTTTGGCGCAGCCTTGCGTGCGTGCCTTTGTTATGAACGAGCCTTTTAGCTCGTGGTGGCGTCCAGCCATTCCAAGCAACGCGAACGACACTGGGATCAAATGACGCGGCAGCCTGCTGTAGAGTCAGCTGGAACAAGCAGGCGCTTCTTTCCCCACAAATTATTGTGCATGATTAGCGCATTCCCCAGTGAAACACAGTGGAGTGGGCTGCCAAGTTGGTTCAGGATGACTGGCGCAGTGTGCTCCTTCGGCCGGTCGTTCTTTCTTGCCCTGAACCGTCAAGACCCTGGTTTTTCTCTGCCCCGTCGCACTTGCCCATGATGTCCCAAGTGATGTTTTTTAAAAATACAAAGAGCCCTTCACATCGTCCGCACCTTCCTGTCTCAACGTTCGTATCGCACGGGGAAACTCGAAGACAGATGTGATTAGCTGCCTGACGCCACCACGACGCCGTTTCCGGGCTCCACTACGACTGCTCTGGAACCTGGTTGTCCCCGTTGGCTCCTGCCCAACGCCCAAACGATCTCCAACTTTTCTGACTCCCCCTCTGCTCTTGTGTATTTGCACTTTGCATCTCCCTTCAAAACCCCAGCCACGTCTGCTGCAGCTGCGTCGTGCAAAATCCCGACCAACGAATTTTGACCAACGCATCTGAACTTGGGCTACCTGTATTCCTATCTGGCGTCGTGCTTGCCACTGCCTTGGCTCAAGGCGGGGGGATACGAGGTAATTTAACCCTCGGAATCTACGACCTTGTGATCGGCACTGTCGCTATATTCGTGGGTTTGCGTTTGTCCGGACTGAGACTCGCATATGTTGGTTTTTCACGTGGTCGAACTGTATTTCTTATTAAACGCGATTCACCCGGTACGGATCCAGCTACGACGCAAGCAAGCTCACCCCTCCCCTTTCGCTGACGAGTCGTCAATCCTTGTGACGTCTGCAGCTTCACATCGTCTACCTCAGCTAAGTGCCACTACATTCGCTTGAACTACCACACTCCATACGTGCATCTGCAGTGCACGAACCGTCCTCTGACGCCATCGGCAACGACGCCTTATGCCGACGTGCGATATTAGCCGCTTCCCACCACTTCCTTGTCTACCTTGTGGCTTTTCTCAACAGCGACGCTACCATCATAACTCCTCCCTGGTTACGCTTGCTCTTTTTCTTCTCAGTGCTTTGCTACCATGGCCGAAGCTTCTTCGGGCGTCCTGCCCGCCTACGGGAGTTCCAGCCATCTGTCGTCTGGGCCTCCGTCTCCCTCCCTATCTCGACACCACCGCTTGAGCCGACGAGGCTCCATCACAGCCGACGATCCACCAGACGAACGAACGGGTCTCTTGCAGAGCCAACGGTCGCGGACAGCACGACACCCGCATCTCAACCGGTCGCACAGCTATGCCGGAACCGCCACGCGGCACCACAGCCGGGCGGGGTCATGGGGCCAACGCCTGATCGGCGTCCTGTCTGACCGACAGGAATCCATGGCCGAGTCCAAGGCGTCCATCGCGCCCGACGAGCGGGTATGGTATGACCAGTTTACGTCGACTGACTGGGTACACGATAGCATACTAGACGCATATCGCGTCAAAGCGCTACGCAGCCGCAAAGACTTTTGGGGCCGAGTGTATGTCCTCTTTGACGGTGCGCAAGGCTGGGTGCTTTCGGCGCTAGTCGGATTTGTAGTTGCAGTTCTGGCCTATGCTATCGATGTGTCCGAGGCTGTGGCTTTTGACTACAAATATGGATATTGCACATTGGGGTGGTTTATGACCGAAAAGGTGAGCGTCTCAGATATGCGGAGGATCATACCACAGCCATGTACGAGACTGGTCAGCTAACATGTCTAGCAATGTTGTCCCAACGGGCTTTGTACCGACTGGCGTGAGTGGGCTGAAGTGCTTGGCGTTCAGGGCCTCGGTGAGATCTGGGTAGAATACGCGTTGTACATACTTGGTGTCATCGTGTTCGCTGCACTCGCCTGCCTTCTTACATTGACGACAGAGACAGTGGTGCCCTCGGCATTTCGGCTGTCCACGCTCGACGAAAACTTGGCTGCAGAGCCCGTCTCTTCTAGGCTCGAGGACGACGCTGCCGAGGATGGGGACAACGGCGTTGGCGGCAGCTCGGGTCGCATGCACTACGGTGGTGTTCACAATGCCGATGGTGGTGTCAGTTCCAGCAGCAGCCCTGCCCCTCCAGAGGACAAGCCGGCCCAGTCCCTACCCCCCATGGTGTACTTCTCTGCGGCCGGCAGTGGTGTTGCAGAAGTGCGGGTGATCCTGAGCGGTTTCGTGTTGCACGGATTCCTTGGTTTCAAGACACTTGTGATCAAGTCACTTGGTTTGGTGCTCAGTGTGGCGTCCGGTCTGAGTCTTGGCAAAGAAGGCCCCTATGTTCATATTGCAACCTGTGTCGGCAACATTGCGTGCCGCCTGTTCGCAAAGTATGACCGGAACGATGCGAAGCGACGAGAGGTGCTATCTGCGGCCGCAGCGGCCGGTGTGGCCGTCGCCTTCGGCGCTCCTCTCGGCGGTGTGTTGTTCTGTCTTGAAGAAGTGGCCTATTTCTTCCCTGCCAAAACGCTCTTCCGCACCTTCTTCTGCTGCATCACGGCGGCCTTGACCCTCAAATTTCTGAACCCGTACGGCACGAACAAGATTGTCATGTTCCAGGTGCAGTATCCCGTGGACTGGGAATACTTTGAGCTGGGAAGTTTCGTGGCTGTCGGTGTTCTGGGTGGCGTGGCTGGTGCCATGTTCATCAAGGCATCACGCCTGTGGGCCAAGTCTTTCCGAGGGGTTCCCCTGATCAAGAAGCACCCTCTCCTGGAGGTGGTGCTTGTTGCCCTTGTGACTGGCCTCATCGGCTACTGGAGCGATCTGACCAAGCTGCCTGTCGCTGAGCTTCTCTACAACCTGGCCGCGCCCTGCGACGTCACAGACAACAACCTCCAGGATCTTGGCATCTGCCCAACTGAGGTGACTGATATCCCGCCGATTTTGCTCAAACTTTTTGGCGCGTTCTTGATCAAGGGCGTCTTGACGATTGTGACCTTTGGCATCGTAAGTTTCTCCCAATTGTCCACTATTTCGGCATAGAATGACAGCTGCTGACCAGCCAACTAGAAATTGCCGGCTGGTATCTACGTGCCGTCCATGGTTGTCGGCGGTCTCATGGGTCGCATTGTAGGCCATGTCGTACAGTGGGTAGTTCTCAGCTTCCCGACATGGCCTGTTTGGGGTACGTGCCCTGCTATTGGCGAGGCATCATGCATTCAACCTGGCGTCTACGGACTGATTGCTGCCGGGGCTACGATGTGCGGTGTCACTCGGCTTTCCGTGACACTGGCCGTTATTCTGTTTGAGATTACAGGCAGCCTCGACTACGTTTTGCCGTTTTCGCTGGCCATTCTGGTCGCCAAGTGGACTGCCGATGCCATTGAGCCTCTGTCTATCTATGATCTTCTCACTGAGATGAACTCGTATCCCTTTCTGCACAACAAGCACAAGCCCGTCTTCACGTCGGATCTGGCTGATATCGTGCCACGTGTCCGCCGCAGCCGCATCATTGACATTTCATCGTCGCCGCTGGTCAAGGCCACCGTCCTGCGCCAGAAGTTGGAGATCCTTCACCGTGCAGGTGAGCTCGATGGTGGACTGCCCATTGTGCGGCATGACGTTCTCGTGGGACTGATCCCGGCCCCCGACCTTGAGTTTGCGCTCGATAGCCTGCGCGATGAGTCGTCGAGCCTGTGTCTCATGGCTTCCGTCCCGAGCATTGATGACTCAGACGATGATGACCGTGGAATCGACCCGACCGACTTCACCCCATACATTGACCCGGTACGAAACCCAGCCCTTGTCCTTGTGCACTGGTCGTGTTCGCTGTTGGCCTTTTGCTAATCATCATTGTCCTCTTAGGCCCCTGTCGCCCTTGACATCCGGTCCCCGATGGATCTCGTCCACGAATGTTTTGTCAAGCTAGGTCTTCGGTACATTTGCGTTCTTCGCGATGGTCGCTATGCTGGCATGGTATGTCCCCAATCTGCATCTACGGTGCCGTATTCAAAGATGCCATATCTGACCCGCTCCCCGTCATAGGCCCATAAAAAGACTTTTGTGAAGTACGTCCGGGACCTCGAGGAACACCAACATCACGCTTTGTAAATGGTGCTCGTACTCTCCATATTTTCTGCATCTACGCCTTTTCCATTTGTATTTTTGGGGCATTTCTGGAGTCACGGAACCTCATATGCCCGCCTTAGCAAGGGTATTGGACATACATTTCGTGGGAGCAAAGCATCCTGGGTTGCATTGTTTTTGCCGTTTATATTTCGTTTTGGACCCTTATTCTGTCCTTCTTTCTGTTCTTTTCGATCCAGGCTTTTTGTACTTGTTCCTGTGCCCTGTACTTAGGATATTGCATGGCTTTAATATAGCAACCAATTTGGACTTGTCACCAACAGGCCAACCGCATTTTTGTTACTGCGGTTCTTGGTTTGCTACAGTAGTTCTTTCTTTCTCCAATGGTGTGAATTTGAGGTTGCGGTCACCGGTTTCGTGCTCGTCCGTCTGATCGATGGCGATGCTGTATTTGTGCCAGCCAATGTGTCGTTTTCGCACCACGCCACCGATGACTCTACAACGTTTGTGTACGTCACGGGCGGTCCAAGCGGGCCGCACGGATCTAGGCCTTTTGTCCGCAGCAACGGCAGCCGTTAATGAGCGGTTGCTGAGGGTGCTGAGGATATACGATGTGGTCCAAGAAAGAAAACAAGTAAACAAAGATTGACCTTTAAAAAAAAAAAAAACAATTTCTGCTTTCCACGGCCGGGCGTGTAATTAAGCTAATGTAATTATGATCTCACTGAAGGCTTAATGTCCCACAGGAGTAGAAGATGATTTATGAAGTTACGTCGTATTTCGGGATCGTCGTGCAACTGTCCGCCACCGTTTGCGCACTACTATTTGCGTACCATCACATAAATTGCACACCTCTTGTGCACTGATGCAATAGTTTGTAAAGCGTGCCTTAATGCCTGCCTCTATCGCCTGCCTTCGAGAGCCCTCTTATGGCATCAAATTACGATGTTACGGAAGCTTGGAAGCTCACTCTTTTCGTTAGGTCTTCCTCTTTTTCATCCGTAAACGGCATGTCGACGCCCCTCTGGAAAAGATGACATGCATATCCGTCCTAAAACGGCAACGCTTAATTACGACTAAATTAGGGGGAAAAGCAACCGCCACTAAACCTACACTATCTCCACAGTTCTAGCCACATCCTCGTCCTCTGGGGCCAATCCTGGTCCCGTTTTTGACATCTTTCGTATCAACGACCGTAAGTTGCAACGACGACCACACACTGAACGTGACGACCCCCCCCCTCCCCCCCTTCATAATAAATTGACGCACTGGCAAGGAACATTGCACTGGAACGGCCACCTCTACGTCCACAATGCGAGACCACCTGGCCGCCTTTGCGCCGAGTCATGGATAGACAATAGACGACGACACCGACTTTCTTAACGAGACGGTAGCAACAAGACGCCATCCTATACCAGACCGACGGCAAGGACCACAACAGCGACCATGGCGAGGGGCTTTATGCTCTATGTGTCGGCCGCCGCCGTGGGTCTGCTCGGGTTCGGGCGGCCAGTTCCGGCTGAGGCGACCGACGCATCATCGACGGCGGCGATGACAACACCCATTCCCGATGCTGCTGCTATGGCGGAAGCGGTTGTGATTGCTTCGTCTGCAAATTCCCCTTCCTCCGAATCGACGGTCTTGATATCGTCCTCCACGTCCTCCACCGCCACCACCGTATCCGTCACCATATCGCAACCTTCCTCCGCTTCCTCCCACGCGACATCCTCCTCCCATATCTCGTCTTCCTCGTCGGTAGCAGGCTCATTCGACACCGAGACATGCCAATCAAAGACAATAAACTACATTACACATACACTTCCGCAGCAATGCCTACGGACAAGCTGGTCGAGCGCCAATGCGACGGCCACAACAACAGACACGAAGAACGGCGCGGGCTCGAGCGGGCACACCATGGCGGCACCATCTGAGACGGCATCAGCTGCAGAAACCGCTTACGGTAGGGAGGCCAAAGAGACCGACAAGGAGAAGGGGAAGGACGACGATGAAAACCAAGAAGACCTGGCCACTGAGTCATTCATGTCTTTTGAAGAATGGAAGGCTCTTCAGCTGAAAAAGGCCGGACAAGATCCGGCGGAACTGCAAGCCCGGCGCCGGCAGCACCAGAACCAGCACCAGCACCTGCACCAGCACCAGCACCATGCAGGACAGCATGCGCACGGTGCCGGCGGTGATATCAACATCGACAGCATCGGCGACGACGGCGAGATCGCGCTCGATTTTGACGTACTCAACGAAAAAGTGTCGGAGATGGCAGGCTCCGCGTCCGCTCGAACCCCCGACCAGTACCGCGGTGGAACCGGCGGAGGCCACCGGCAGGACGGTTCTGCTGCGGATGGCGGCAACGCGGCTTCCGGAAGCGGGGGTTCAGGCGCAGGCACGCAAGATGAAGCCGTGGTCTACGCGGACGGCGCGACCCAATACTATCGCAGTAAGGATGCGGGCAAGACAGGCAAAGAGCGCTTCTCGTTTGCGTCGTTTGACGCTGGCGCCACCGTCCTCAAGGCCAACAAGGGCGTCAAGAACGCCAAGGCCATTCTCGTTGAGAACAAGGATTCGTACATGCTGCTCGAATGCCGCACGCGTGACAAGCACGTCATTGTCGAGCTGAGCGACGACATCCTTGTCGACACCGTCGTCCTGGCCAACTTTGAGTTCTTCTCCAGCATGGTGCGCCGCTTTCGCGTTGGCGTCAGCGACCGCTATCCCGTCAAAGCCGACCGCTGGCGAACGCTGGGCGAGTTCGAGGCGCGCAACTCGCGCGACATCCAGCCCTTTCTGATCGAGCACCCGCAGATCTGGGCCAAATACATCCGCATCGATTTTTTGACGCACTACGGTAGCGAGTACTACTGCCCAATCTCTCTTTTGCGCGTGCACGGAACGCGGATGCTGGACTCCTGGAAAGACAGCGAGAACGGCCGCGATGGTGACGATGACGAGGAGCTTGAGAACCAGGAGCAATACGAGGGAAATGGGCAGCAGAACCAGAACCAAAACCAGTACAATCAGCAACTGGCCGAGGAAGACCGTAAACAGAAACAAGCGGACGAACACGCGCAGCATACACAGGCGGAGACCATTGCGGCATCGGAGGCATCACCAATCGTCGCCGACGGTGCTACGAAGTTTTCAGCGGACGCTGATGTATATGGCCCGGGCGGCTACACACCTTGGAACCCCGTTGCGGCGTACCTAGGCTTATTCAATGCAGATGCCGTCTGCTTATCATCAGCAACTCCCGACGGATCTTCAGACAGCTCAGTAGCAAATGCCGATGACTCTTCAGCCCCCGCGTCGTCACAAGAGCAACGACGCGCAATGCCAGTGGAGGCTCATGCGGAGATAAACAACCAGTCTTCTTCAGAGATCCCCGAGCCTGCGTCGGCCTCCTCTGTTCAACCCCCTGAGCATGCCTCAACTCCCACACATACTCAAACCGCTGCTAAACGTACGTCGGCGGAATCGGCCTCCAACCCTCCACAACCAGCTTCCACCTCGTCCATCGCATCCACCGCCTCCGATGCGTCTCAGCCCTCTCAATCATCCGAGCCAGTCGCAAGTCCCTCTCCTCCCGCGGCTAAGGCGCCAGAGCTGGATGTTTCAGCACAACCACAACCGGCAAAGCAGAAACCTGGCTCTGTTGGAAGCCAACAAACACCACCCACAACGACGACCGTACAGACGTCACATTCTAGGAACAGGGCGGCATCCGGTGGAGCGGGTGCAGCTGGTAGCTCGTCGCAGTCAGGTGGCAGCCCGTCTGGATCGACAGGCGGGTCGGGGTATACCCCAGGCGCCACGCCCGGCGGCGGTGGCCAGGGCTCTGCTTCTACTAGCTCGTCAGGCGGTAACAACAATGGTGCATCCACCGGCGGCGCCCAATCCCCACCGCCGCCGCCCATCGTGCAAGAGAGCTTCTTCAAATCCATCACAAAGCGGCTCCAGTTGCTGGAGTCCAACACGTCTCTGTCTCTGCAGTACATTGAAGACCAGTCGCGGTTTCTTCAAGAAGCTCTGCGCAAGATGGAGCGCAAACAGATCGCGCGTGTCGACTCCTTTTTAGACACCCTCAACAACACCGTTCTGTCCGAGTTACGCAACATGCGCCAGCAATACGACCAGATCTGGCAGTCGACGGTCATTGCACTCGAGACGCAGCGCGAGCAGAACCAGCGCGAGACGGTCGCCCTGAGCGACCGCCTCAACGTGCTTGCCGACGAAGTGGTCTTCCAGAAGCGCATGGCCATCCTCCAGTCTGTGCTGCTGCTCTGCTGTCTCGCCCTCGTCATCTTCTCACGGGGACTGCTGTCGAGCAGCTCGGCTTCCGTGCCGCTCGACGTCAACACCGCCACGGCTGCAGCCATGGCTGCGGCAGCTGGGTACATGCCGGCTGGCCCGGCCATGTCTCCGTCACCAGCGTCGCCTCCGTCGGCGTCGTCTTCGGTCGGTCTACGCTCGAACCTTCGGTCGCTGCGGAACAACCTACGCAATCCGTACGCGGCCTATTCCGTCTACGCCTCGGACTACCCGCTGTCGTCGTATGCGGCCGGGTCTCCACCTCCAAGCAATTTGCGAACACAGCCCATGCCTGTACGTGGCGGTGGTGCTACCAGTGCCGTCCCGGCTCCTATCAACAAGAACAAGGTCTTGCCACTAATACCGACCACGCCGACTTCGCCTTCCTCCCCAGGATCGCCTGTATCGCCGGAACCAATCCTCTCCAACGAAGGCCAGGACAGCATGTTGGACGTTGATGATCGGGCGACCCAAGTCATGCAAGAAAAGGGAAAAGGGCCCGTTCTTGTTGAACCCAAGTCTCTGACACCACCCGCCTCTCTTCGTCTGAGCGACATTGAAGAGGCTGCCGATCAACTCGAGGATGAAGAGGACAGCGGCGAAGACCATGACGAGACTGTGCTGTCGGAAGCCACGACCGTCCGCCCCGATGGAAACACTAGGACAATATTGGATTGCAGCGACAGCCTCGGCTTGTTCACACCGACTGCTGCAACACCTACAAAACTCAATGGCACGGCAGACGACTTGTCCTCGTCATCCATGACCACATCCTTTCTCCCAGGCACAGGCTCTTCAGAGGCCCCTCCAGGCCCCCCTTTGGGCCGCAAACGCCTAGCGTCACTCTCAGACGACCATAGTAATTGAGCAAAGGATGCAGGGTTGAACCCGTATCCATAACGAATGTACATAGCCTTGTATTCTATTCTTCAGCTTACGAACTGCGATGCAGTACATTAATGATAGTTAGCATAAGCGTTGTTTTGAGTAATGCTTTCATCGTGTTTAGCTTTTTGACTCTCTATGTCTAGTTTAACTTCGTTGCGAATGAGCAAATGGGCACATGACTTTTGTAAGGATTTACTTGATTTTGCTAAACTAGAGAGAACTGATTGAAAGCCTCCAAAAAGAAGCTGGGAAGTATGAAAGCGAAAAGATAACAGCAGATGGTACAAACGGCCGGTACCAGTTACCATGCATGACCCTGTCAATTTATAAAACAAAACACAGCAAACTTGGTTCAGAACGTGCTTCGACAAGACCACAATACCTGACTCCCATACACACTGGTATATGAAACATTATCCACTGCCGCCAGATTAATCAACCCTCAAGATTCCTTCCATCCTCGTTGACAAGACATGCCATTTCTTACCGATGCAATAACGTGCAGCGAAAGAAAACATAAAGAAAAAAAACCGGGAGCGATTTTTTGGTTTTCGTAGCTGACAAACAAAACAACAAACATGATAAATAGCAAACAGGTCCCCATTCACATATAAAGACAAACAGCCCGGATTCCAAACACATCTCGCTTGAGACACGTCGGGGCAACATCGCCGTGCTTCCACAGCCTCCAGGACAGGTTTGTAATATCAGTAGAGCCTTTGTATGGCATTTTCAAAGGTGACACAAATGAGAAAACAAAATAAAAAGAAATAATAGAAGGCAAACATTGCAAAAAGTGTAGCATGGAGGACAGTCATGGTCGCAAGATGATGATATACCGGTACCGTTTGCCGAGCATCGTCAGCAACGAGACCCATTGCTTGGCTTCAAGGTGCCAACGATGGCAGCGCCGAATGGCCCGTTGCTGTTTAGTTCGGCACGTACACACGCTGAAGACTTGCGTCGTAGTCAATCTCTTCAAGAGCCGCCATTCTAGTACCACGGTCGAACTGAGAGCGGCGGCGACGTTGTTCATCCCGGTAGTACTGGCTGAGATGGGGTGTGAAGAGACCTGTGCCAAATTCTATTAGTCAATGCGGGATGCATTATAAACTATGAAGGGATGGCCAAGCCAATGGTCATTTTGTGTCACTAACCAACGTGCTCAGCATTCTCGCAGCTCCGCTTCATCTTGGACGGATTGTCTGGTCCGGGGAACTCCTCTTCACGGCCAGCAAGCTCGGGGTTGGTCCCACCTATGGTGTAGTAAAGCTATACACAGAATGATTAGAAATTCTCTCTCATTCCATTGTAGTACTCGTTCCAGAAACCCTTACCTTAGGACGGTAGTGGGGTGATTCGAGCATCACGGAGCTGTTTCGAAACTTCTGCACAAGGCAATCTCTACCTTGGATGGCTATGGTCCGTTAGTTTGTTGATATTCATGCCAAGCAAACCCGTCATTCAACAACGTAAGTATCTTACTAGCATAAGAAATCTCAGCAATTTTGTCGCTCCGGAAACAGTTCCTACATGATCGTCAGCTGGTCGCCCGAGGAAGATGAAATAGAGAGCTGCTCTTGTTCTCACCAGCGTTGGTTGTCCCTCGCATTAGCAAACTATATAGTCTGATTAGCAAGAAAGACGTAAATGACAGGAGACGGAAAGATACCCGCTTGGGACGAGATATTCGTCTAGTAGATGCTGCCATTCACGTACATCGATGATATCTAGCGGCTGTTGTTTGTCAGTATAAGCTCAAAGCCTGTAGAGTTGATTGGGCCGACTTACATCTGCAAAATTGATGAACGCATATCCGACACTTGAGATTGGTTAGCATAATGAAACAGTAGTTTTGGCATACATGGACAAACACAGCACAACTTACTTGCAATCGTTTGCGAAATCAATTCGCAAGTACATAAAGTCGTACTTGCCCCAGCTCGATTCGTCGATGATTGCCTTCAACATCCGCTGGTCGACCTTATTGGGAATGTTTCGGAGCATAATCTAGAATTTGATCAGCCCATGTATTCAATAGGCGGCTCAATGTTCCCAGCGTTTATCGAGACTTACCGTCGTCCGCACATCAACACCATCGCGAATACGCTTGACATCCACTTGGTTATGATGGCCGTTGGGGCCAAACTGCATCGACCTATCCATGCGCATTACGCCGCGACGGTTGCCATAACGTACCATGGGACCACGTCTCTGTCCGCCGTCATATCCTTGATGAACAATGGTTGACATGGGCGTCCCGGGAGGAAAGACAATGGGGGCTCCGGCCATTGGTCCCATTCCGGCCATGCCTCCCGTAGTTCCCATTGAGCCCATTGGCCCCATTGGCCCCAAGGTGCTCATGCCTCCCATGCCTCCCATGCCTCCTATGCCTCCCATGCCTCCCATACCTCCCATTCCTGAGCTCGTACCATTGAATGGATCCAGGATAATTGGGCCAGTGGTGCCGTATGGGTTACGCACCACCATGTGGACGAGGGCAACCTGCTGCTGCGGCGGTCCGCCGATGCCTGACGTTGGAGGGGTTGGCTGATGTCTGGCTGGAACCATGGAGTTGGAACCATGTTGCATCGCCATCTTTTGGGGCTGCATGCCTTGTTGCCCTTGGAAACTCGCAGTGTTGTTGTCCGGCGGAGGGTAGCGGCCAGGAGTAGGCATCGGCGTCGTAACTCCGTCGTTCGGAGGCGCCGCTCGCCCAGTGTGTCCATCAGGCTGGTAAAAGCTCAGCCGGATGTGGAGGCCCTGTTTTGTGTAAAGTACTCATCAGCTTATCAATATCATTGAAAATGGGCTGGTTGTAATGTGCTCGCTGAGATGCTATCTCGCACTTACATCAACAATGACGCCATTCAATTTCGACGCCACATTCATGGCAACAGTACAGTCAGCGTATTCAATGATCGCTTTGACAGCACCCTCCTCCGACCGAGGATCCTTCTGGAAAGCGAAAAGATCTCCCTCGGCCTGAAGCAGCTTGAGCACATGGGGCTCGACCTGGGATAATTCCATAGGAGCATTGTGGAGAAGAACAGCAAGCATATCCAACTGGCCCTCATTCGCAGCAGCAAACATGTCACTGGGCATAGCAAGCTACAACACATATTAGAACGAGAAGTGTATGAGTGCGTTGTAAAAGGTGAAAGACATCAACTCACCTGCATGAAGTCAGGGGGGGTCATGAAAGTCGACGACCAGCCGGGGCCACACAAATGGACGTTTCTGTGGCAGGTGATCGCATCCCGAATGCTGTTATAATGAACGTACACCTTTGAGTTTCTGGAGCAAATGGTCTTGTGTGCACCCCCAGCTCTCGTGAGCGACGTAAGTCTCTATATTCAGGCGCTGATTAGTATCGGCTTGGTGAATAGATTGAAACTTTATGTGGGTATCAGCTGGGACCGATGAGGGATATAACACATACACCGATGAATTCATTAAGTTCAGCGGCCCCAAGTTGAGTCGAACATGAAAACTCGACACATCGCGACAAGAAGATTTCAGTGCTCAGACTATTGGAAATCTGGCCAGGAATTGACACTTGAAGGTCTTGCCCTTCGGCTGCTTGGGGATTACCCTCAACAGATCCGTTCGAAGACAAGCTATCATAGAACGGGCGGAAGCTAGACGCGGCAGCAGACAGCTGTTGGTTCGACTTCATCTTTGCCTTGGACGAAGGAGTGACAAAGGGGTCTTTGTCCGCAGACATGTTGGTGGCACGGAAGCCACCACCGCTACTATGAGTAGGCGAGAAGACCAAAGTGTCCTCGCGATCGGGTGTCTGGATGAGCTTGGACGTGGACTTCACCGAACTGGCGTTCGGTGAGAATGCGATGAGGCGAGAGGATGGAGTACCAGTAATATTTCCGGCGTCAGCACCGCCTCCGGAGACAGAACCCGGAGACGATTGCGAAAACTGGTCGCGGAACTGCGACATGGTCGAAGGACCCGCAGCCATCTGACGAAATATTTCACTATTAGCTACCAAAGACACACATAGTGTTCGACGTTGATAGTCTCCGAAAATGACAGTTGGAAATGGCTCAGATAAGACTTACCAGACGTCTTTAGGAAGAGTAGGTGATGATGTTCGAAAGGGACCGAAACACGCAGAGTCAAAAAGGAAGCACAACGAAGTTGAAACGGGAAATAAAGCCACAACACAACAGGCAAATGCAGCTGGCAAGTCAAAAAGAACCGCCAAATGCAAGATGATGTGAGTCAAAAACAAAAAGAGACGTGAAGCGAGGTCGATAGAGGTGGGAGAAGAAAGGAAAGGAGAGCCGGGAAAGCGGACCTGGTGAGTGGGAAAAACAAAAAAACAAGTCAGTCCTGGGGCATACAATTTTCTTGAAACAGGAAGGTGCGAACGCGTCTTAACAACAGAGAGAGAGGAAGTTGCGAGCATGTCCACAGCAGGAAGGAGCGACCTGGTTCTCTAAGTTTTGGGAAGGCACGCGCTGGTCGGTCGCGACAAGGTCCAGTCGAGGAAGGAGCGAAAGGTGGCATGGCCCTTGGAGAATGTCCCTCAGAAAGAAGCCTGGCTCTCGTCTTTTGCCAGTCAAAGGGACATCTCATATCATCAAGATATTCACGGGGCTTAACGGGGTGGTATTCGTGGCCTTTCAGACCGTTTACTTTGCGGTTCGACGGCATTGGAGCGTCACGACACATTCAGGAGCCTGAACCTTGCGTGCGATCTAGTTGACAAAATTTTACATCTCACTCACAAAACACTTTGACGGAGAATACGATAGAATATGTATTAGCAGTCGGGTGTTGCACGATAGGAGGGCGGCCTTTAAAGGTTGTCTCTGGCAATAGATACGTCATTTCCTTGTTTTTGTGATCTCAACATGATATGATGCGACTGGATGTGCATCACAGTACGCGGCTCATTTCCTGTAGTAAAAAGATAAACGACGGAGTAGGCCATAGCAAGCAGGAATAGGACAGGAGATACACCTATACTTACATTATTTATTGTTGGGGTTCTACGTTCTTTCAGGCAAAGAGGGAACTTGTTGTATACCATTCTCGGTTGGTATTCTAGCTCCTTTTCTTTCTACAAAAGAATATTGTCAGTTTTTACTTTATACAACAGGAATGGGGCCAGAGTATGTGAGTAGCTTCATTTAGATTTATTGAATGTGCCCCAGACCTTTACTTTCCATGAGCACGTAGTCATGAGTCTTTCATTGCCAGTCCCATAAATAAATAAAGAAAAGGTGTGTGTGTATTTTTTTTTTTTTTTAAAAAAAAGGAATAAACAGAATTGTGCTATTTAACTCAGAACTTTTGATTTTTCTCCTATGCAAAAACTATAGAAAAATCACATAGTGTACAGTATTATTTCCGTATGCGCGCATAATAATGACCCGGCCGGTGTTGCTGGCTCATAAGCCAAGATAGCGGAATCCATGCGTATGCAACGGACCAGTGGCGCAATGGTAACGCGTCGGATTCCAGTAAATGGTGCTTCCCGAAGATTGTCCGTTCAATTCGGGCCTGGTTCAAGTCAGTTATTTTTACCTCCAAAAGCGTGATTCTTATTTTTTTGCGTCTTTTTTTCACTGGCCTTTTCTTGGAGCCGTCTTCTCGACGGGGCACAACTCCATTTTAGCCTCCACATCAAACACTCCCGTAAGTGGAGGTTCCTGCCAGTTTGGTGGTGGGACCGTTGCATTTGAAGGTCACGTGCATTTCCCCGCCTGGTCCACATGAAAATGATAGAGAGCTTTGGAGCTGTTTTAGATTGGTGGCAGCCTAGCGGCTGCTGTCCCTGCCCTTGTATCGAACTTGACATGGAGCAGCTTCCTTTTTATGTGACGACGACACCGACTCCAACCACGACATCCGATTCAATCTACCACCTTCGTTCTTTGCCCACTACATCCTAGGATAGATGGTTCAATAGACGCTGCTGTCGAGCGTGGCCCAACACAGGCGCTAAAGTATTTCCTGCCGCACACATCCATGCGACCATGCCGCGGCGGCCGCAGGCATACGATGACTACGGCGTAGCCGTGCAAGATGTAAGTTTTCTACAAGCACCAAAGGACTTGCCTTGAAGACCGGATATTGACCTGCGTGATTTGCCGCCAAGATTATCTTGTCTTCCTCCGACACCGACTTCATCGACCAACTTATCCCAGTCTTACGTGATGCGACGACCAACGGCAGCCGGCCGGTCAACCTGACGCAAAGCCTGGCGCAATATGTCGACGACCGTGACGCCGAGATCGAGACAATCGGTCTCACGAAGCACGAAGAGTTTCTAGGCTCCGTCAACCAGCTGCAAAAGGTCCGCGAAGGCACCGTGGCATTGACGGCCGAGATCCTCGAGCTCAACCAGTCCATCCAAGCGAGTACTGAGAAGCTTGCAGAGCAAAAGCGCAATCTCGTCGACACCCGGGCGGTCCGACAGAACATCTCTGATGCAGCAGACGCTCTGCGCGAGTCGCTGCGGATCCTGCACGCCGTCAACCACGCGCATGAGCTAATCCGCAAGAAGAAGTACTATGGGGCACTGAAGTCTCTCGAAGATCTGCAGAATGAGCATCTGGTGCCCATCATCCAGAACAAGTACGCCACACAGCACCAGCTGGCCGACCTGATCCAGCGCTCGATCCCCGCGTCGCAAAAGACCATCTCCGAGGCGGTCATGACCGACCTCAACACATGGCTGTACCGCGTGCGCGAGACTTCGCAATTCCTGGGCGAGGTTGCCTTTTACCACACGGACATTCGCCGTACGCGAATGAAGGAGCGCGTCGAGCAGAATGGGTTCTTGAAGCACTTCAAGCTCAACTCGGCCATCGAGCTGGTCTTCGATGAGAGCGAGGAGTTTGACGTGCTCGACAACGACGAAGTGAACGTTGACTTTACACCGCTGTTCGAGGCCCTGCACATCCACGACGCCCTTGGCCAGAGCGACAGGTTCCGTGCCGACTACGCAGCAACACGGCGACAGCAAAAGGATCTGCTCATGCCAACGTCGGTAAAGTTGGAGGACGATGATGACGGCTCGTCACTTAGCAGTCTTCTTGAGGGTGTTGCAGGCTTTGCCATTATTGAAAAAGCCACCATGCGGAAGGCACCACAGCTGCGGTCGACGGTTGATGTGGACGAGCTATGGGACTCCATGTGCCAGACAGTCATCAATCTCATCACGAAGGCTCTCCGCGACGTTAACAACGCCGAGGTCCTCTTGAAGGTCAAGGGCGTCATTGCGTTGTTTATCCAAACCATGGAGGGTTGGGGTTACTCGGTCACGATGCTAGACAACTTCTTGCTCCGGTTGTTTGACAAGTACGCTGAGCTCCTGAAGCGGCGCTTCAGCGAAGACTTCCAGGAAATAGTGTCAACCGACGACTACATGCCCATGACGATCAACACCCTTGAGGAGTACGAGAAGGTTGTCAATGTCAGCTGGTTTACGCAGGAAAAACCGTTATCCGAGTTGACATTCCCCTATGTCCTGCCATTTTCTCAGATGTACCCACTCTGCTGCATTGACATCCGCAACTTTCTTAACCAATTCTACTTTTTCTCCGACGACCATTTCCAGCATGCTAGCGTCATCGACGAGACACTGCGCAAGGTAACCCCCCTCGCACAAGTTGAAGGAAATATAAGGAACCGCAAAGTCGTATGGTTGTTGCTAACGTTTTAGTCTCTGGATGAGCTTTTGAACGACAAGATCTGCAAGTCTCTTGTGGAACGGTTAAGCTCCCAATACCTTGGCCAGATTGTGCAAATTCTGATCAACCTGGAGCACTTTGAAACGGCTGGCCAAGAGCTAGAGCAGCTACTGATCCGGGCACGTTCGTCGACGTCGGCTGGTGGGCCTGTCAGTTTGACGGCCACAGAGCAATTCCGGAGCAACAAAAAGACGGCCGAGAAGCGCATCTTTGAGTTGGTCAACTCCAAGATTGACGATCTAGTGGATACGGCTGAGTACGACTGGATGGCCCCGACACCGCAATCGGAGCCGAGCAACTACATCCAGACACTCACCCGGTATCTGTCCAACATTATGAGCTCAACATTGCTCAGTCTGCCGCGAGAAATCAAGGAGCTCATCTACTACGACGCTCTGAACCACGCTGCAGACCGCATTCTGATGCTCCCCTTGGCTCCTGAAGTCAAGTACATCAACCCCAACGGTGTCGCCGACCTTGCGCGCGATGTCCAGTACCTCACCGAGTTTGTAGGCAGCCTCGACAACGCATTCATGTTGGAGCAGAACCTGGATGAGTTGCAGCAGTCTGTGGCTTTGATGCAGGCCGAGAACGCCGACGAGTTTTACGACATCACGACGCGGAACAAGAAGTTTGGCCGTGTCAATGCCCAAAACGGTGCGATCTTGCTAGAGAAGGTGACACACGCCGTGGAGGGACCGAACCGGGCGGCACAAGGCTTGGCCAACTTCTCGAGCAGATTTGGTTTACGGTGAGCGTTGCTGCTCTGCTGCGCCATGATATCAATGACCTGTCCTTGTACCCGGGAGTGTAAAGTTCGGAACAGCTTTTTGTATATACTGTTCTTATATAGCGTATTTGTTCTTCTATTTCGAATTGCTTCCTTGTCTTTGGAAAGTCAGATTATGCGTTGCAAGATAGTGGATGATTTTGACGTGCTCAAAAAATGAAGTATGCAAATGTGAAGAAATTGCTAACTCTTCTGAGTAGAGCAGTTGCAGATACACTATAATAGCCAAGACGAAGAACACCGATGTAGTATTGGAATAAACGGTCCAAGAACATATATTTTCCTCTTGCCCAATATCCATCTTAAAAAGAATACAAAAAATAACTTTAGGACAAGAAAGCAAAAGTGAAAGATGAAACATTGATATCGCGAGGGAATAGAAACCTAAAACGTGAAGGAAAATAGTGTAGAGGTTGAACGGGAAAACAAGGAACGTGAAAAAGGAAAAGGAACCGCTCGCCACTATTCCCAACAAGCACAAACGGACAATTCATGGCAGCCCTATGTTTCCGCCTTATTATGCGCCGCCCTGTATATGTTGGTCAGTTCATATACCAATTATAAATACATAAAGTACAAGGCGCCTAGAATAGTCTTGCATTACGTACCTGGGGAGGAGGCATGGAATACGTGTTGTACATGTTGGGGTCCATGTCCGCATACATTGGCGCCTGGCCCTGGCCATAGCCGGCTGGAGCACCTGTTTGGCCCTGCACAGGATACATACCAGGCTGCCGGTAGTCAGCCTCACCACCCAGAGGATGCGTGCCCATGGACGCGTACTCGGCGAGCGCGTGGTTGGCTCCTGGGATCTGTTGGCCGGCACCGGCGCCGCCAGCAACGCCCTGCTGGGCAGCCGCCGCTGCAGCCGCCGCCGCGGCCGCCGCAGCGGCAACGTTCGCTGATGCGGCGTTGGCACCAGCGGCCCCGCTTGGGTTAGAGCTGCCTCTCTTGGGGTGGCTCGTGGCCTCTTCGCGGGGAACAATGTCAATGAGGAAGTCAAACATATCGGACTTGGCGAGTGCGGACGCAATGTCGGAGCGCTGGAGGGTGCGGCGCTTGTTCTCTTCGGCGTGGATCCAGGCGCGCATGGTGAGCTCCGTGATGAAGATGTCGCAACCCTTGGCAAACAAGATAGGCGCCTCGGCAGAGATCATCTTGACTTCGGGGTCGGCCTTCATGACCTTCTTTATACGGGCGAGGGGCAACTGGTGCAACTTGTAGTCATGTGTATCGCTCTCGAGGTGGTTGATGGTCTGCTGCCAGTACGTCGTGAGGATGTCCTTGTACGGACCCGTGAGACCTTGGTGGACCTAGATCCGGACAATAAGCATTAGTTGTGAGCAACGGCAAATGCAAAAATTGGGATCGAGTTGGGACGCACGTTGGCCCATGGGCCTGTGTAAAGCTCCGAAGGCGCATAACCTTGTTGGGAGAGCTGGAAGGTATAGTTAGTATCGGCAGCGTCGAAAGGGACGATGGCGCATCCAATGTAACAGCTCGCAATGCTTGCGCAGTGAGAGGAGGGAGGAGTGGGACACGAACCGCAGCGCTGGCGCCTAGAGTACATGCGAAATCGAGGGTTAGCACATTGGTCGCATATGCAGATGAGAGGTCGGCTGGCACGGGACGGGAAGGGCAGAGCAAGGCCCATTGACCGCGATCCAGGGCGATCAAAGAAGAAAGTGTATGACAAACGACGTACCGTAATGGCCGCCATGGCTTGTATCGTACACGGCTTGCTGGGCGCGTCCGGCCTGGCCCTGGGCGTTGCCCGGGGTGGCGTTGGCAGCGGGTTGGTTGTTGGCGTCCATGGCCGACGAATTGGTGCGCGTGCGCGACGATGGTGATTTGGAGAGGCGATGCGCAAAGCAGAGGATGCAGCGATGATGGATGGGCGACGACGCCAATGGGTCGATGCGGTGTTGAAGACAACGAAGAAAGCTTGCAAGAAGCTCCGGGCCGGTTTTCGGTGGTCGTGGAGGATAATGTTTCTAGTAGTGGGGGTTTAGTTGGCTGGCGCGTGTGGCTGGGCTAGTGTGCCTGGAATGGACTGCAGCACGAGTGACGGGGCGACGAGGTGTGAGGCGCGAGGAATATTGCGCGGCAAAAAAGACGGCTGAACAAAGTCGGACTGCGACAGAGTCTATTCTGTAACGGATTTGTAAACGCAAAAATACAAAGAGCTTCCAATTTGTGTGATTTTTCTTCTCCCGGGTGAAAACAGAGATAGCAATTAGGCGACAGGCGGACCAAGCAGGCGGCAGAGAAAGGTTGCGCGAAGACTACTGAAAGAAAATAAATAAAACAAAGAACAAAGAACAAAAAGAAAGCAGAAGACGCAGAATATCACAGCTCTCAGAAAACGTCAGCGGTCATGTGAAGGCTGGTAACGTGCCCGCTTGCTGGGAGGGGAATAGGCTGGCTGCACAGTATGCAGGTGACAAGGCAGGTGCGGATGCGCGCCCAGTTTTGTTTACTTCGCGATCCGGCCTAGCGGGGTCGCCGTGCCTCGTTGTTCCTTCCTTGTTTGTCAAAGCTGCCAGGCAAGGCCAAGCAAGGCCCGGGAAGGCTCTCAGAGCTTGGACGAGGGGAAAAGGTGGGCGCCTCGCCGCTTGCTTCTCGTTGGTTCAGAAGTCGTGTCCTCCACCCCGTTTCGCCCGCCATCTTGGTCAGACTGGGGTCGACCAGGGCCGCTCGCTGGGACAAAAGACCAGACCAACGAACCCGTTTTTTCGTTTTTGACACCCCTTTGCTGGCTCTTGATTTGCTCCTTCCGCGGCGCGGCCTTGATTGGCGGAGTCGGGTGATTGGCCAGTGATGAAAGAGCTTCGCCGACAACAACGAGGATTGGACGAATCGCTGGTGGAGTCGTCGGTCGTCCTTGCCATTCGTCTTGCCGGATTTTACTTTCTTCAACAAACACAATGGGAAGGAAGATGTGCCAGACTACCGGCGCATTGTGAAAGGCAACGGCGCACTTGCCCGGTCTGGTTGGATGGAGCACGCGCACTCTCCTTCTCTCACTTGCGCCCCTCGGTGGCCCGGTCGTGCCTTCCTCGCGGGGGAGGAGTCGTGTATTTTGATTGCTCGACAAGGCAGGGCCCGTCCACAAATGGAGCCACTCAGCTCTTTCTGTTCAGTTTGCCCATTTCTCTCAGGTGAATAATACAAACTGGCCCCGAAATTCAATCAAGCCATTCGTTGGTCGCGACCGGACGAGCCAGTAGAAGAGACGGATAGCAGGACACCGTGCATGGTCGAGGCATTGGGGGATCGAAAAGTAGTGGGCAGAATAGAATGTGAAGCAAATTATGACGAAATGACGCACCTTATTTTTTGACTGGATGAGTTTATTCCAGAGTCCGTTTTGCGTGTATTTCTCAAAGATGGTCGACTGTTCTAGGAAGGAACGCAATCGGTGATGTATAAATAAAAAATAAAATAGCAAATAAAAGGAAGCACGGGCTCCTGTCTTCGCGCTTGTTTTCTGGATCTCTTTATCTTCCAAAGCTGTGAATGAGGCAGGATTCGACAGGTAACGAAAAATAGGGTCCGGAAATTCAAGAACAAGACATCCCAGTATATAACGTTTAAGATTTGCGGGTGGGGGAAAAGCTTGCAGCGGGCGCAGGCGTGTGGGAGGGCGAGGCGCAAAAGGATGTCTCTTACGTGTTTGGGTGTCTTTTTCTCTGCATTTCCTCGTTGCTTTTCCGCGCAAGACAACAAAAGCGGTCAGTGAAATGTGAATGGCTGGTTGGGCATCAGCCGCCGCATTGTGGGCCTCCAACGTAGTCGGACTGTGGTGGCCTCGCGCCTGTGCCCAACCCACCCCGCGGCGTGCCGGTGTGGATCGTGCTGTCGTGCCAGCACAGCAGCGACGGTGGGCATCTGACAGCCAGCAAGCATTACGTTGTACGTCGTTGTACTGGTGGCAGTGCGATGTCGTCGCCTTGTTTATCAGGCATGATTAGTCACTTTCAAACTGATTTTGGCGTACGCGCTAGTACCAAGATGACTAAGTTAAGGTCCCCACTTAATTTCTTCAGGGACAACGAAAAAATTGCTGCAATGAAGTGTCCGAGTTGCGTGTCTGCTCTTCCAGCTCTCTTTCCTCTCTTCTTTTTGCATGTTCCATCCACAAACACAACCATGGCGACAACAACTATAGAAGATCTGACCGAAAGTCAGATCGACGCCCTCTTTTTGGAGGCTGAAGAAAGGCTAGCTGAAAAGAACAACGCAGCCGTGTTGGCAGCTCACGGCCGGCCTTTCCAAGTCTCCGTTGCCAACGAGGCCAAGAAGGCGGCCGAAGAGGCTGCAGCCAGCAAAGAGGTCGCGGCCGGCAAGACGGACGGCGTGACAATCCGTGTCGCGCAGCTCGAGAAGAAGAAGAACAAGGTACGTTTACTTGATGGTTGTTGATTGTCCTTGCTTTGTTTCCGCTTTGCGCCTTCCAACGCACTGCATGAAAAGATGAAAACTATCCCAATAAAATTGAGGCATTGGGTGATCTCGTTATGGGTGACCCCTTGCAAACACATGATTTTATTCTTTATCATAGTTACTCTGATCTGTTTATTTTGTACTGTTTTTGCAGTTCTTTGTTGTTTTGACACGTTTCACCAACAAGACACTCGAAACTAACTGCTTGGTAAAAGGAACCTGACAATGCTGGCCCCGACTGGTTTGGCCTGCAGAAGACCGTCCTGACGCCCGAAGCTAAGCGCGAGTTCCAGATCCTGCGCATGCGTGGCATCCTTGACCCGAAGCAGCACTTCAAGAAAGACAACCGCAAGAACATGATTCCCAAATATTCCGTGTTTGGCACCATCCTGGAGGGCACGGCCAAGGGCGAGCGTGATCGCCTGACGCGCAAGCAGCGCAAAAACACCATGGTCGAAGAGGTTCTGGCGTCACAGGAGTACAACCAGCAGTTCAAGCGCCGGTACAACAAGATCCAGGAGAAGAATGCCAGCGGCAAGAAGGGCTTCTACAAGAAGCTTGTTGCTGGTCGTCGTCGCCGGCCTTGATATGGCCAACGACTGCTGCCTCGCTCGAATCGCTCTTGGCTTTTCTTGACCACTTGGAAAGGCCAGGACGTGCGGCGCGAGGCGTCACCCCAGATCATACAAATAAATTCTGCAGCGAAAGCCAGGGCAGTCCAACGTGCCGCGCCCTGGCAGGCCTTCGTCTAGCCACGTACCCGACTAGGTGTTTCCACACAGGGCCGTCGAAAGACGGAAATCATGCCGAACGAACACAACGGGCTTGCTAGAGAGCTCCAGAGAGCTTTCAACGAAGAGCTGAAATGCCAGCTGTGTTGTCCACGCATTGCAGCGCGGCAAATATGCCTCGCTCGAGCCGCCGTTAGACGGCGAAGGCTCTTGCAGCGGTTCTCAAATTCTTAGCACAGACAAATCAGTACATGTTTATTGCCGAGGAAATGAATAATCAACTGTAACTCAAGGCAATGTGTGAAGAGACTATAAGATTTAATGTTGGGGATTATTTCAATGCTCCTAAAAAACACAGTGTGCAATACAGTGCATTTTATATCGATTACGGTATGGTGCCGCTTCGGTGCTGGGCGAGAACTAGGAACGCGCCAAAAATCTGCAGACAGCATCAAATCTTTCTAGGCCAGCATCGAGCCGAGTCAGGAGGACATCCCTCGTCTCCCTCACGACACAGCGACGCAAAATGAATGCACCACCATTAATACGGTCACTTCGGCGGACCCTTCAGGTCCAGATGGTGCGTCCAAGCCGCAATGGTATCCGAAACCCAAAGCAATCACCGTGACTAATGGGGCTTCGTTCTTAGCCGACCGCAAGATGTGTATGGCAACAGGTCATGCGACCGGCACAGTACCGCTTTAACAGCTCCTTGTGAGTTCTCGTAGTGCGACGAAGGGAATGTCGATATACTTTGAGTGCCGATTCATCTAACAACAGCTCTGCCATGATCGCAGACGGTCGTCGACATCCTCACAGCAGGCCAATGAACTGTAGGTTATCCCATTGCACACCACGTCCGATTGCACCTCTCTTCGTGGCCCAGCGTCCAGAACTGACACGTTGTTCTTTCTCTCCCACAGACCAACGAAACCGACGACGACTGAAAGTGACCCCACTGACAACGCGCGTGTCCCCCGCTCCGTCCAGGCGCTGTATCTGGCACCCCTCCGTCGCGAGGCCGAGTATGGTGTGCCCTCGGCTGACCTGCAGCTGCGCTCGTACAGCAGGCGTGGTCTTATCCTCTTTTCCGACTTTGCCCTGCGCGCTGCCTACTACCTCGGCCTGCCGGCGTTCGGCCCCGTGCCGCTGCCGCGCATCACGGAGCGCTGGACGGTGCCCCGGTCGCATTTCATTCACAAGAAGTCGCAGGAGAACTTTGAGCGCATCACGTCGCGGCGGCTGATCCAGATCCGTGACGGCAATCCGGAAACGGTGCAGATCTGGCTGGCGTTTTTGCGGAAGCACGCATACCCGGGCATCGGCATGAAGGCCAACATGTGGGAGTTTGAGAAGCTGGGTACGCTATGTTCCTCCCCGTCCCCGTCCCCGTCCCCGTTCACTCGGTCCTTGAACAATGGCGTACTAACCATACTAACCCCCTCCAGGCGTTGGCAAGGCCATGGATGCTGCAGCGGGCGAGGCCAAGGGCCTGCTGGAACCCCAATGGGACCACGCGGGCGCGGGCAAGATTCCGAAGACGGTGGCCCAGGCCAAGGCCCTGGAAGAGCTGGCGAAGAAGGAGGGCTATGCCCAGACGGTCCAGCGGATCAAGGAGGAGCTCGTTACGTCGCGGCAAATGGTGGCTGGCGGCAGATAGGAGAGAGACGAAGGACGGTCATGATATGTCAAGTAGGAGAGCGTTTGAGTTGCACACTTTGTACTAGTAGAAAAAATCACGTTTTCCCAGTTGTACACAATCACATTTAACGACTGCCGTTAGGTCTTCATTAAAGGAAGATTGCCAAATACAGTATAATTATTCGATATGTTTTTATAGCATGACGAGGCCCTGAATGTGGTGTTGCTAACTGCCGCCTACTCGTTATCTGTGCGGGCTGTTTACAGTCTGGCCTAGAATAGTCACTAAAATTTTATGCCCGCCAAAAAATCACCAGATGCCTCTCCCGCCAATTCCACCAGCATTCTACGACGGCCACAACCGAGCCCGCCTCGTCTAGTCAATTCATAATTGTTTGCATCGCGTCTTATACTACCGATTTCTTGCATTCGCCCTCCACGGACACAATGCAGATTGCCCGGTCACTGCTCTCTGCAGCCCGGGTTTGCCGGTCTCGGAACGCCCAGTCAAAAAGCAGCTGTGCAGCCTCACTACCTCTCCTCTCTAGCCCATGCCGTCGTTGTCTCTCGGAAGGCCGCAGGCTACAGAGTCCACAAGAGCAAAAGAAGCCACCGTCTCCATCACCATCGCCACCACCCTCATCGCCCACAGATGCGCCAAGTGGCGCCATCATCTTCTCCGGCATCCAGCCGACCGGCGTGCCGCACCTGGGCAATTACCTTGGTGCACTGCTGCGCTGGGTCCAGCTGCAGGAGGGTGCCGCCGGCGACACGAGCACGCAGCTATACTACTCAGTCGTGGATCTGCATGCGCTGACGTCCGTACAGACGGCCAGCGACAACAGCGGCGCAGTCCTGCGCCAGCGGCGTCGCGAGACGTTGGCCGCGTTGTTGGCCATCGGCCTGGACCCAGACCGGTGCGTGCTCTTCTACCAGTCGGCTGCATCGGCACACTCGGAGCTCATGTGGCTCCTGAGCTGCACAGCGTCGGTCGGGTACCTGTCACGCATGACGCAGTGGAAGAGCAAACTGCACCTCAAAGACGACGCGTCGTTTGCCGACGACAAGGCTCGCGCGGCCCTCAAGCTCGGCCTCTTTTCGTACCCCGTGCTCATGGCCGCCGACGTGCTCGTCCACCGCGCCACGCACGTCCCCGTCGGCGAAGACCAGTGCCAGCACCTCGAGTTTGCCCGCGAATGCGCCTCGGCCTTCAACCACGTCCACGGCCAACCGCTGCTCGTGCCGCCTGCGACGCTGCTCTCGCCCGCGCGCCGCATCATGTCGCTGCAGCAGCCGGCGCAAAAGATGTCCAAGTCGAGCACGGACGCGCGCTCGCGCATCCTGCTCACCGACGACGCCAAGACGATCCATGACAAGATCATGGGTGCCCGGACCGACTCGACGAATGCCGTGTCCTATGACCGCGAAAACCGGCCGGCTGTGTCCAATCTGCTGGAACTCCTGGCCCTGATGGAAGGCGACGACAACAGTCCCTACAGCGCGGCCACGACGTCCAACGCCAGCGTGGAGGCCACCGCACAGGCTCTCGCCACGGAGATGGACGGCAAGTCACTGGGCCAGCTCAAGAGACGCGTGGCCGAAGCTGCTGTGCAGCGCCTATCCGGTATTCGTGAACGGTTCACTGACGTGCTGGAGCGTGATGGTGGCGCATATCTCGACCGTGTCGCCGAGCATGGTGCCAAGAAAGCAAAGGAAAACAGTGAAGAGACTATGGATGCCGTGAGAACGGCAATTGGCCTGTAATTGTAATGTGTCGTGCCAGGCAGTAGGACGTCGATGTCGACGTCAGTATCAATCTGCTGTATAAGAGTATCGAGTCACGCATCCGTGGCAGCTGAAGCCAGCTTTGAAAGGAAAAAGTTCAAATACCATTCCTCGTCTATCCTGTTGGCTATCTGATTTGTGAAATTGCCTTTTATTTTATCGTATCCGGTGCGTAGTATTGGGAGGCCAGGGGGCATTGAAAGAGACAGATGCAAATCGTCAAACAAAACTTAAAAAAGACAAAAGAAAACAAACAAATACACACTCCATTCTGCACTCGCTCCACCATCACGAAGCATATGCAAAGTTGGAGCCTCTGCAAGTCAACCAAAATTCACGAACGACGTTGTTCGTTTGCCGAGCCCCCCGAAGACTATGAGGGCAGAAGATGAGACACTCGTTAGAAACGATATCTGCAAGTGCTGTACGGGGAGGGTTGGAGTCGGCTTACCTGATGATCTTCTTGAGGAAAAATGCCCTGTCGCTGGCCGTCACCTTGTCACTCGGGAATGATGGGCTCATGAGAGCATGCTCGAGCCACGTATTCGCCCGCACGTGCTGCACCACCATCTTCTTCAGCGGCTCGCCCAGCTTGTCGAGCTCGCTCCGCGAGGCGTTGCCGCCAATGTTGTTGATCAGCGATTGCGCCAGCAGTGGCCCAAGGTGTTCCATTGCGTTGCTAACGATGGCCTTGAGAGACGGGTCGTCCAGCCTCAGCGTCAAGAATGTTGTCTACAAGGCTGGTATTAGCAGAGTGAGAACTGCCGGGAAAGGAGGAAAGGAAAGGATAAAATCGAACTCACCCAAAAGTCTGCCGAAGCTCCCTTTGGCAACGGCTCACGACCATCAAGCACTTTCAAAGTAAACATGAAAAAGAACTCCAGCTGGGACGACGGTTCGACCTGCAACAAAGCCGCCGCATTCTTTTGCATGACTCGGTCAATGAACTCAATGCCCCTTTGTGTGAGCTCCGTGTCGGCGTCCGGCTCCGGAAGCGCTTGTAGGAGGTCAAAAATCCACGGAACAAGCACCCCAAGGCTCTTGTTTGCCCCTTCTTTCGATGGATGCTTTGCTAGCGAGCTGGCGAACGAGTGCGCCGTGTTCACAATGGTGCCGATGTAAGGTGTCTGCAAGTTTTGATGCACAAACATCTCCGTCACCATCTCTGCGGGGAACACCAGGGGGCCAGGCTCCGTCTCAGAAAAGCCGGCCTTAAAGATACTGCAGATAACGTCAATCACCTCGTTGCTCCGTGGAAATGCAGCCTGCACGGAAAGTATCATGGCCATGATGTGGGACTGCAGGGCCTGGAGCTGCGTGTTGTTTTCAGCGGCAGCCAGTGTCGTCTTCGCGGCGCTTGTTCCGTTGCCGTTGTCGTCGCTGTCCAGGTCCACGTGGTGTTCCGTGGCCGACTGCAAGCCGCGGGCCATACCAAAGAGGCAGCGGAGCGGGATCAGCACGGCCTGCAGCAGCACTTCGCTCACCGACGGCGCAGGCTGGCTTTCTTGCAGCTGTTGCTGGCACTGCTTGATCGCCTTGCCCATGAGCGGCGTATTGCTGTCGAGGCCATTGGCATCGGTACTCAATCGCAAGCACAACTCCACGTCGCGCACGATATACGACAAGAGCTGTTCCGACAGCTGAAGACGTGCGTGCTCATCAGGCGTGGCCTGGATGATCGCCGCGATCGCGTTCACGACCCGTTCTTCCGCGAGCGAGTCCAGCTGCGGGTTGTCGTGGAGCAGTTGGTACTGGTGGAGAAAAGCGTTGGCTTCGGACGTCAGCAGCGACCGGCAAGAAGAACAAAGCGTCGCAATCGACTTGGATGCTTGTAGAGCGAGCGTCGGCGTTGCCACAGCCTCAAATAAGAGGTTTAAGGCCGCCGGAAGGTGATTCGGTTTGCGCTCAAAGTACTCGGAGTATCGCTCGATCAGAGACAGGGCCGTCTGGCGCAAACGCACCGGCAGCTGTTCCTCCCCGAGGGCGAGAAGACCGAAAAGTGAAGATGAGAAGATGCTGTCCAGAATGTCATCGTAGCTTTCGTCGTCGGACACACAATCGGAGAGCGACGCAAGGCAGAATGCTGTCGCTTCGATTTGCGCCCATGCCTTGTCCGAGATCGAATGAAGGAGCAGGTCCGTGAAGATGGCCATGAGGTCGCGGCCAGCGGCGGTAAAGACGGTTTGGAGCAGGTCGCCAACATCTTTCCGTGCATCGATGAATCCTGCGCGGTCCGATGAATCCCAGCTCATAAACTCCTTCACTGGCGGGTACTGAATCTTCTCCCAACAGTGGCCTACAACTTCCTTGACGAGAACCAACGCCGATTCGACCCACGGCTCGTATTTGTTTTCGCTGGAGTACATTGTGTCCAACATTGTCTCTATGTACGTCGCCCAAAACTCGAGGGCAGGCACAAAAATGAAATCCTCGGCCACTGGGTGGCCTTTGGCCGTCAGAAGAGAGGATAGTGACGCCAAGATCTTCCGCGACCGGTCGTCGGAGCTCTGCATGAGTGTCTCGACTCTTGCATCGCCAAACGCCAACAGCAAAAGACCGTATTGCAGCGGCTCAAAGTCGAAGTCACCTTTGAGAAGCTGCTGTAGGCTCTCGGCACCCCAAGAGCTCTCAAAGACACGAGCGATCGCAGCGTAGTGCTCTGCTGTAAAGAAGTTGGAATAGTTGGAGAGAATATCGATCAGCAGTTCGACGGATACCTCGTAGAGTTCTTTGTCCTGAAGACAAGCGATGGTGGGATTGACCAGGTTCCTAAGCGGGCCAACAAGGACATCGCCGCCGGCCGGTACCCTCTGGGCGTAGAGAATCCACGACTGTACAGTGTATCAGCAAGGAGCCTTTTGCATTATCAACGGGGCTACGTGAGAGTGCACTCACCTGGAGGGACTGGATGCTCTCTCTTCTAAGTGCGGCGTAGTCTTGCGCGGTCGACGTCAAACCAACATGAATGAGCTCGGAAACGTCCGACGCATTGTAGAGAAGTCGGTTATGCACGAGGGAGCTGCGGAGTAGAAATTATGGGATGTTAGCGAATAACCCGATCGAGATACAGCATTCCTTGTCTCCGCAAAGAACGCACAATTTTGGGATCCGCATGTCAGTCTTGCCGACATCCGTGACAAGGGTGTTTATAAATCCGAGAGCAACGCGTAGAAGCCGCCAGTCAAGACCGGCAACGATCTCGGTGACGCTTGGTGCGCGTTCGACATCCTCTTGCGTTACGCTATGGCCGGTCCGCAGGCAGACCAATAAACTCTTGACGCAGTTCGGCCACAGCATTGGGAAATGAATGAAGAAGGTAGCAAGGGCCTGCCACAACTTTTGGGTCGATAATCCGGCCGCAACGTCGCCGGCAGAGCTGGCCAGCCAGCGCAGGAGATTCTGAAGCAGTTCGGTAGCATCGTCGTCCGATAAAGATGAGCTGTGATTTTTTGTTAGTGGGACCGAGCACGTATTTCAAGATATTGTCTAATATATTTCATGAACAGAATGGATGGGAAGCATCAAACACCTTTCTGTGTTAAGTTTAATGATGATTGTCAGGGCTCCAAAGAACTTGACCTGGTCGGCCGCAGTGGAGGTAACTTGGCGATCCAACAGTGTCTGTGCCAGCATCCAACCTTCAGGTGATTTCTGCAGGCGCTGCAACGTTTCTTGTATCGTAACAATAATGCTGTGAGGAGTTCCCGGATTGTACAACGAGAAGATCAACTACACCGAGCGGTCAGACGAGAAGAGCGGGAAGAAAAAGGGGTCTGGTGCCCGCAGAACCGGACGTTTCTTGTCACCAAAGCTCCGCAACAACGTGTCCGCAATACAGATAGGAAACAGACGCAGCGACCGACATAGCAATAGAGGAAAGACTCACTGACTCCACCTCGTCAATAGACGTCGGCAACGAGGCGTGGTGTTCCATTGTGGACTCCAGGTCATGACTTTCGTTGAAAGCCACGGGAAAGTGATAAAGGTGAGTGTGAGAAAGGCGCTTTCCTGCGTGTCAGTGCTGGGCGTGACAGCAATCAGACTACCACAACTAGTTCAGACTTCTAGTGGTGAACAGGAATTAATTCAATCCGAGTGACGCAGTCCGAGACTTGTTCTCGGCGTGGAACTGAGAAGGAAAACAAGACTCGTCTGGTGAGAGATGGTGACTCTTCGTGCCAAGCGCCGGTGGGTTGTGCACGCAAAACAGAGGGTTTTGGATCCTCTTCTTCGGGGAGTAGAGGAAAGCGAGGAGGATGTAGTGTGCTCAAGAGAGTGTGCTAGGTCGGACAGTGACCGACCAGCGAGGCCAGGCAGACAGAGACCTTGAAAACGAAAGCAAAACACAGAAAAGGTGGCCTATTTCAGTTTCCGTTCAAAACTGCCCAAGACAGTTGTGTCTCCTCTGACGCTTCCCCCCTTTTAGTAACGTGATACCAGCATGGCCAGTGCTTTTGTCCGCTCGGGTGTATGTTGCAAGTGGCGATGCGTGAGATGCCTAGCCACTTGTAACCTCTTGTTTTTGGTTTTGAGTCGGCCCAGTCGATTTCGTTAGGCTGTGAAATCAATGCCCCACCAAGATGTCAATATTGCTGCGGGTCACATGATATCCAGTGTGTAAGACTGTCAACAAGGCTGCAGAGTCAGGATGAAGATTGCATGACTTCATAGTTGAAATGAAAGTAAATAAGAACTGCAACTCTTGTAATTTAACCAATCATTTCATGATGACTTTTTCGGATGGACTTTATTAGTACTCTAGTGGTAGTAACATCATAAATCTCCGTATCTAGGAAACCTTTTTAATTTTAAAACCCCTTCCCCCAGGAAACATAGACAAGAAGACAAAAAATGGCCCACAGAATAAATTCGGTTGAGCAGGTTACGAAAATGATAAAATAAAATATGTATTGTACGCCAATAATAAGTCATCTGCATATGTGGCTATGTCTCTATTTTCGAAGGCTGGTTGGATTTTCATAAATCTGTAACACAGAGCGCCGGCTTAGAGAAACTCTTCCGATTGCAACATGTTTATTCCCTTATCAACTCGGTCGTAGCCGCATATCGCCAGGATACACATAATAGGTTGTCTATTCCTGGACTTGCAGAGGAGGAGAAGAATACAACTGCGTGCTGTATTGAAACGAGATAACAGCTACACGTGACCATTTGTTTGATTCAATCTAGCGAACGTGCCCCATATTATTAGTAGTCCGTTTTGTGATCAATTCCAAAGAAAGCACTGTGTCTTGTGCACCTTCCTGACCTGGCCGCCGCAGCCCGCAGCTGCCCGCTCCTGCCCCGCTCCCTGTTTAAGTGATCAAAACCTCTCTTTGCTCCTTCCTACCAGAGTATCGTGTGGTGCCAGCCACGACTCGGCATTCTGTTTTGAGCTTTTCCCCTCTTCGGATTCATACAGGTGTTCGTTGGACAACGCGGACTGTTGTTAACGTACTGGGTCGTGTCCTCGTGTCCTCGTTCCCATCGGCTCTCATCCGTTGCTGCCCGTTGATTGCCGTGACATTAAAAGCACGCATGTGCCTCTTACCTGTTGCCAGGTCGCGGATTCTGTCGTCTCCCAGCATTTCCCGACTCGTGCCTCGTGCTTTCCTATTTACCGCTCCGCCCACCACCTTCCTCAACCGGCTCCAGACCACAACAGCGCGGTCGCTGACTCGCCTGCAAAAGCGCAACCTATCCCTCGCATCGGAGCACAGGCCCACTGTCCGTTATCCTCGAAAGCCACGAACTGCATATCAATACGGGAATATCCATAGCCAGTCTATTGTTGCCGACGAAATGGAGACGGTCAATACTGGCGCTCGCCTGGAGGCGCTGCGCAAGCTCATGGCGGACAACAAAGTTGACATCTATGGTATGGCACCTCTGCTGGCGAATAATGGGCACATTGTGGATGAGTTTTTGATCGCTGACGTTGGGGCATCTGTGATTTAGTTATTCCATCCGAAGACGCGCATTCGTCCGAGTACATTGCCTTGTGTGACGGCCGGCGAGAGTTTATCAGTGGCTTCAGCGGCTCGGCTGGTTGCGCTGTGGTCTCCTTCGACAAGGCTGTCCTGGCGACGGATGGCCGGTATTTCAACCAAGCTGCGAAGCAGCTGGACGAAAACTGGACGCTCTTAAAGCAGGGCATCCAGGATGTGCCGACCTGGCAGGAGTGGGCGGCCACCGAGTCGGCAGGTGGCAAGGTGGTGGGTGTTGATCCCACGTTGCTCTCTAGCTCGACGGTCAAGAAACTCGCCGAGAAGGTAAAGAAGAGCGGCGGCAAGGATGTCGTGGCCGTGCCGATCAACCTAGTCGACACTGTTTGGGCGGCTGAGCGGCCGGCGCACCCTTCTGAGCCGGTCGTTTTGCTGGACGGAAAGTTTGCGGGTAAGGACATCAAAAGCAAGCTAACTGAGCTGCGGAAAGAACTCGACAAGAAGAATGCCGCTGGTTTTGTCGTGTCTCTGCTCGATGAGGTTGCATGGCTGTTCAACCTGCGGGGCAACGACATCCCCTACAACCCCGTCTTTTTCTCGTATGCGATTGTCACACCCGATGAAGCCATCCTGTACGTTGACCAGTCGAAGCTCAGCGAGGCATGCCAGAAGTACCTCTCAGACAACAACGTTACGATCAAGCCGTATCATGCCATCTTCCCAGATGCAAAGCAGCTGGGTGAGCTTGCTTCCCAAAGCAAGACGGCCGCCGAGACCAAGAAGTTCTTGCTGTCCAACCGGACATCATGGGCCCTGGTCCTGGCACTGGGCGGCGAGGACTACGTCGAGGAGGTGCGGAGTCCTATCGGAGATGCAAAGGCCATCAAAAACGAAACGGAGCTGGAGGGTATGCGTCAATGCCACATCCGCGATGGTGTTGCCCTGACCAAGTACTTGGCCTGGCTCGAATACCAGCTTAAGAGCGGTGTCAAGCTGGATGAGGTGGTTGCTGCAGACAAGCTAGAAGCACTGCGCTCTGTCCAGGAACATTATGTTGGCCTCTCCTTCCCAACGATATCGTCGACTGGTCCAAAGTGAGTTTAATGCTGGCCCCTGTCTTGGTGTGATGCTATCCTGCTAACACCTCAACTCCAGTGCCGCTGTTATTCACTACCAGCCGGAGCGGGGAAGCTGCTCTGTAATCGATCCGGATGCCATCTACCTCTGCGACTCGGGTGCTCAATACCTTGACGGCACGACAGATACAACGCGCACAGCGCACTTTGGCAAGCCGACTGCTGCCGAGATCAAAGCGTATACCCTAGTACTAAAGGGAAACATGGCCTTGGATATGGCCATCTTTCCAAAAGGCACCACGGGCTTTGCTCTGGACGCATTTGCGCGCCAATTCTTATGGGTATGCACTGTCTCTTGCCATTCCATATTTTCATAAATTCTTGCTAATTGACAAACTTACAGCAAGAGGGTTTGGACTACCGCCACGGCACCGGTCACGGTGTGGGCTCCTACCTGAATGTTCACGAAGGCCCCATTGGCATTGGCACTAGGAAGCAGTACGCCGATGTTGCCCTGGCCGCCGGAAATGTCACATCCATAGAGCCGGGCTATTACGAAGATGGGGTGTACGGTATTCGAATCGAGAACATGGCCATTATCAAAGAGGTCAAGACGACACATTCCTTTGGCGATAAGCCGTACCTTGGATTTGAACACGTCACCCTGGTCCCCTATTGCAGAGCGCTAATCGACACGTCGCTGCTGACTGAGCGGGAGAAAAAGTGGCTTAACGACTACAACAATAAGGTTGTGGAAAAGACAAAGAGCCTGCTGGGTGATGATGAGATCGCACTAGCATGGTTGGAGAAGGAGACTCAGCCGTTTTAAAGAGTGACATCCGTGCATATTTCTTGCTTGGCTAGCCCAGGAGTTCTTCACCCGTTGCTGTTTGTTATACATTTTACAGAATCAATGAGCGGGGAGAAATCTCCGTTTATTTTGCGTATATATACACCTTCTCCGAGACCTCATCCGACGACTTAACGTCCAACAGTTCAGATGTACATAAAGGCAGACATGGCAAACGTGATGCCAAAGGCTAGCTTGAATGCGGTGTGCTCGGCCAATGAGGCAAGGATGCGGGAGGACTTGAAGCGCTCCTTCAGCTGGAGGTATTTTACAAGGTCGATGCCAGCCCGAGCTGCCAGACTCTGGAAGGTAATGCCAGCGCCGAGCAGCAACACAAGCGTCCTTGAAAATGTACTCACGAAGAGACCGATCAGGAAGCCTGACGACAAGAGAAAGGTGTTAGAGTATCTTCAACGTGTACACACTGTCGAGGATCAAGCAAGTAGGGCAAGCTCTGTACCTATAACGCTGCCTTTGGACACCTCGCTGACAACCTCGGCGTTTATCGGAAGACCATGTGCACCGTTTGAAGACGACCAGGATGACGCCGAGGTTGGCGCAGGGGAGTCAGATGCCACCGTAAAGGGCAGTGCAGCGGCGGCCAGGTACCAAATGCGGGACGACTGAGAAGAAGATGAGGCGTAGCCGTTATGGGAGCGGCCGTGGTCGTTGTTGGAACGAGTGTAGGGCGAGACGGTGGCCACGGACAGGCTGCGGGAGGGCAGGACGGGCCGAGAGCGGAGCAGCAGTGCAGACTGCAGGCCGACGCCGAGGCGTAGCGGAGATGCCAATCCCTTCTGGAAGGCCGAGCCAGCAAGCATGGCAGGGCGGCACCATGCAGCCGCGGATGTTGGGGAACGCATGTTTGCTGGTCAGAAGAACACAGGGCGGCAGCGTAGTTTACTGAGAGCTGTATGGTTGGCAGGATCTGGGTACGAAGCAGGGAAAGCTAGGCAAGCCGGTGAAGCTGGAAGAGTATTCAATTGGCAGGCTAAATGCTGGGGAGAGCTTCGAGCAAAGACATAAAAGAACACATGGCTGGCTCGACTGGGAAGGAGGGGGTGAAATGGAACAAGGTGCTGACACTAGGTTGTTCCTTACCCCAGAGCGGACTTGCCTTTTGTTGATTGTGGCACTAGCTGACTGACGTCATTGGCTGGAGCTCACTGAAAGAATGGGTATTTTCGGCGCACCGACCGAGTCAAACTCGCAACATGTGGCATGACAAAATCGTGATAATAGATGCACCGTCGCTCGATGACCAGCAAAACTGCCGCTATTGAACCTCGGTAGCATTTTAAAGCACAATCTTTACAACGCCTTTCTAAATGCTGAGAGAAAGTACTAATATCTTAGCGGTAACAGGTCTTAGAGAGAATTAGCAGCGAGATGGTTGCGTTTTTACCCAGCGAGACTGCTCGTATTCTAGCACTTTATTGCGTTTCCTGGTATCGTTTTGAAAGAACCAATTGCCAGCATATTTACTTCTCATTTGGGCAAGCAAAATAATAAATTGTGCGGTCAACGAGAGTCGAGTTACAATAGAGGCTCAAACGCTTCTTGCTTGACCAGCTAAGCCGCGGAGCACAGTAACACAGTGCGCGTTAAAACTGTGATAACTTCCTAACATGGAAAGACGCGCCTTGACGCGTCGCGGGCAAGGGCACGCACCAGGCGACCACCTGGGCGTGCCTCGTGTTGTTGTGAGTTTCCACTCATGCTCTTTCCTTGGTGGGAGGTAGTTTTCGCATGATTATTTTTATTTTAATTTTGCTACCCTGCTCATCTTCTTGTTTCTCGCCGTGGTGACAAGCACACTAAATCTCACACATCACTACGACATATTGCATCCCAGTTTCTTCGACAACAGCACTACTCATCGTACTCCTCCTCTCCATCGCTTCTTTGCATTCTCATCCTCAACTACACGTATACCCTCACTACAGAAACGACTCGCGAACCTTTCTCATTACTTCACCACAATGCCTCGTCCACCGAGGCGTACACGCGCCGTGTCGACGCGCGCTGCGGCCGTGGCGAATGCTTCACCAACAATGTCTGGCGAGCATGCACTCGACAAAGTCACCACGACCGGCGCGGAGAAGCAGACCCCGGCAACGTCTGAAAGTAGCAACGACGGCCGTCGCCGATCGCGTCGGAGCGGTGCCGCATCACAAGCACCCGACAGGACGAGCAGCGACGCCTCTGGGGCGAGCAACCGTGAGCTTAAGCGGCGCACGTCGTTCCGCCAGACGGCGACCACAACCTCAGCACATATGGCTGAGAAGACAGCGGCTATGGCCCCAAGGCAAACACGTGGGCCCGACGCTTCAGGCCTCGACATCATGGACGACACGTTTGCTGACATTGATACAAATTTTGGTGACCACGACTTGGGCGACCTGGACGACGATCTCGACGCGTTTGATGGCCTAGACGGTCTCCACTCCTCCCCAGTGGCCGCTGGAGAGACCGTAGCAAATGCCCCGCATGCAGCTGACAGTACATCTTCGACGTTCAACGTCGGCCTCTTCCGCCGTGGCCGGCCACGCCAGTCTAGCATCCACAGCCGTGATGATGCCCCCATCCGCCCAAGCAGCCGCAGCGGCGCTACCACGCCAAGCTTTGGATCGACTCTCAATCTCGGCACGTTCAAGCGCCGTGCTCGCGAGCCGAGTATCTTGGGCCGCCGGAGAGACACGTCTCGCCACAAAAGCCGGGATCATGACATCGACGCCTCGGGCAGTGAGATGGATACGGCACTATACACGTCGGATGCCGAGTCGTCATCAATGGCGACACGGCGTCGTGCCGGACGCACCTCGCGTGCGTCTGTAGCCTCTCGGGTGGCCCAAGTTGCTCAGTCCGCTCAACACGTCGCCGATTCGTCCATGTCCTCTGTGAGCAACACGACCTCGATGCTCGTGATGTCGAGGACCAGGACACGGGCAGCTGCGAAGCGCAAGTCGGAGGAAGGCCAACGCGAGGACAAACTGCCCAAGAGACGTGCGGTAGAAGAGGCTGCGGCGGCATCCCTACCTCCAAGTGAAACTGGCGTCCTGCAGTCGGTCGAGATGTCCTTGTCATCCCCGCTCTCGTCACCACCGCGCCAATCCTCGCCGCCCACGTCAGATGCAGACCGGCGCCGTCGCTACGCTACCCCTGGCGGCCCTGATGACGAGGTTATGGCGCCGCCCCTCAGCAGCGGGTCATCGTCAGCAAGCCCCACGATGTGGCCTTCCCTGAAGGGTCTGTCCAACGCCGGCCGCCGTGGCAGAGTCAATGATGCAGACGTGGTGCCAATGGTTCCCCTGTCGCGGCAGACTCCGGATCTTGTCGATGACGATGACGCATCCGATATTTCGTCACCACCTTCCCTGACGCACTCTCCCAATTACCGTACCGCCAGACCAAAAGCCAAGGGAAAAGCGGCCAACACACGCAATGCTACACATGCAAACAAGAGTATGGCACCCTTGACGACTGCTGCACTGGCTGCCCTCCTGCCACAGCGCCGCCGCCGTGGGCGGCGGGGAGGCAATAACGACGATGCTTCGGATGCTGACGACGGCGACAATGAGCTTGAACGGTCGGCTCTTTTGAGTGAGGACGATGACGAGCTTGCACATGGCCCACAGCGGAGTGTATTGCGCCGCGGCCGGAGCGCTGCACGTACACCGGCAACCATGCCCGCTCCTACAGCACTACGCAGCGCATCCAAGGCTGCAGCAGGTACCCGCGTGTCTGCCACCAAGGCATCCACAGGGAAATCGAAACGTACATACGGTTCGCGCAGCTTCTCTGACAAGGAGAACCAAGATAGCACAATCACGGACCTGGATGCCGACGACAGCACATTCAGCCCGCTTCCCGACGACGCCTTTGGCGATGAAACGACCACCGAGGTGCTTCCGACCACAGCTACGGGACAGGCGCGCTACTTTGGCGAAGAGCTAGAGAATGCCTCGAAGAAGTTCAAGGAGGTCGACCGGTGGGCGCTGGAGTTTGAGATTGTGTCTCGGGAGTCGTCCCCTATTGGTGCCCGTTAACGGTGCATGGTATGGTGAAGTTTACGAACGGGACAGGGATATTTATGGTTGCGAGGTTTCTCTTTCTTTTCTTTTCTTTGTACTTTCACTTTCATTTTGATTCCTCTCAAGTTAGCTGTTGCGTGTTATTGTCTGCTCGTCTATCACCCGTCTGATTACATCTTTTTAGCTTTCGTTTCTTTTGAGAGCAGGTGAGGGACAAAAAAGTATGCTCTCATTACGACTTATATCCGTTCTTTGGTTTTTGCGTAGTCTTTTTTTAGGCGAATGCATGTCAAATAACAAGCATGTCGGCTTTGCTTGCCATTGTTTTAGATTGTTTGGGACGGCTGTGGCATGAGCGACACGTAAAGTGTGGTCGTGGGCGGCCAACGTCCTGACAACCACTCCGTAAATAGCAGCGAGTGCACGGGCAGCTGTCTCTCAACGCGCCCATGTTTTCTGTTCCTTGTTTTCTTTTTCCGTGAAATTGTGGTCGCCTGAGCCGTGCGGCGCGCGCAGCGCGAAGTAGCAGATCCCCCAAACATCTCTCCAATACAACCAGAACGAGGAAACGACAAGGGCCTACATAATAGGCTGCCGTTCAGGAAAGAAATCCAGAGGGCCTCCAAAAGCGGTCGCAGCGGCAGAGCATCATGTGCACGGCGATATGCCCACAGACACGGCAGGTGTTACCATGGTGCGAGTGTTTCAACACGTGCAGAACCAACGCTCTTCGAGAAAAGGAGAAGGATCTCCAGCATCTTATATTCCTTTTTTTATTTTACTATATTCCTCCGTTTGCTTCTGTGCGGCATACGCCGCTTCAGTTCTACCTACAAGTTATGAGACGTCGACAGACCAGGCGACAAGCACTTATGAGCGGTCTATAATATTGTCATGGACTTGCCGACACGTAAATATTACCTGCTCTCAGAGTGATGTGCGTTGCGCTGTGCCCTAGATAATATGTGGTATGCCGTACAAAGCTGGCATCGGTTCATCTCAGCCTCTCCACAACTATATTGACCAGGGGCAGCAAAACAATGGACACACGTTGAAGAGGCTATGAGGGCAACACAGCGAGACCGCGTGGCTACACCATGCCGATTGTGGAATACCGGTCTGGAAAGACGACGGAAAGCGTAAACAATAAAATAAGGGCGCATCCAACGGTTACATTGGTATTTGGGCCCCCTTGTTCCGGAGGCTTTTTATCAGGAATCTGGGGGTTCTCAAGCTGTGAGTGACACTGGCACAATCAGCTCTTCAAAGATCTGGCATAAACATACAAGATGTGTCCCCCTTAAAAATTTGGGCCCTCTTCCTCACCGAGCGGATCATGGTAGCAGTGAGCTGCGAAACCCCGTCGGTCAAGAGAGAGGAAAGAACATTATCGTCGCCGTGGAGTTCACAAAAACAGTAATAATATGACATGCATGTCGTATATCGTACGGAGAACGGGGGATAAGCCCCCCCTTTCCCCTTTCGCCCAAAGTGGACAAGCCACAACATTGGCAGAAGCTACCTAGTGCCGGTTACGACGTAGGATTCAAGACCGAAAGCGTTGCTATTATCAACAGCATTTTGTTAAATATTTGCAGATGCGGGGGGGAGGGAATTGGCCGTTCGACAACATCTTGCTTGGCATGTATCTTACTTGGACAGATTCGTTCGGTGCTCGCGACCGTGGCCTTTTAAAATGAGCGTCGATGACGAGCATCACAAGCGCAACATCAGACTGCCATACTGCCTGCTCTCCCAATTTAGCCATTCCGATGTTTCACAAGACTCATCGCTACCCTCCGTGGAGTTGCACCTGATGCGATCCACAAATGACAACTGTGCGATCCGTACCACCAACTTGCCCCAACGGGGCGATGGAAGAGCGGGCAGAGGCATGGCAGCATCGTGTCTTCTTGGCAGACGACCGGCGTGACAGGCCGTACCATTCTTCACATACAGGCATCCGCTGCTTGGTAGCAATATTCACACGGCGTACATATGCGTTGTGAAGCACGTTTGTTCTTCGTTCTCACAATTCATATTGGATTCGACGCCGTGCATATTACATCGCATCACCAACCTTGCAGTAGCTTGGTTTTCATAAGCCTGAGAACCTGGCTTGCTTTGGTAAGTTGATAAACGACGTGTCATGTTTAATATAAGACGAGTCGCTCCTTTCTGCTTCGCGGAATGTAATGGCAACGAAGCCGTCGTAGGACCAATAACACTGATAGTTTGCGACTGCATGGAGAGTGGGGTGCTTTCTTTGCAAAGCAGAGCTCTATTTCTACTGGATGCACAATGTTTCGCCCGCACATTGTCCTGCTGTCGCCCAACAGCCCTGCAGGTTCAACGCCATGCAGCAGCGTAATCATGGCATCCTGTCATCTTGTGGCCGGTGGTAGCCTAGTTAAGCACATCTTAGAGTGGGTGGTCAAGCTATGTCATGCTCGTGCTCGTTAGAGACAGAGGTGACAGTGCATCGTCGTACGCCCGGCCGTCTCGGTCCACACCCTGCGCGTCGATGATTCCCGTTGGCTGTCGGCGGTCGTACTGTGTCCCTCCGCACCCATCTGTCATTGTCAGAATACGGTGAATGGCGGGGCCTTGGTCAACGCCACGACAACCACTTTTGTTGACTTCCACAGCTTGAAGAAGCATGCAGAAGACAGGACGTCCAGTGTGCCGCTGCGTGCAGTACACCCTCTCGTTGATTGACTTAAGTAACGCTTGGGCATTGTGTGCCACATGGGCGGCGGTGCTAACGAATACTGAGATTGGTGCTTGACTTGAAGTCCGCATGGCAGTCATGTCGACAGCCAGGCAGTCAATACGCGTCAACGGCAAGAGAGCACTAGCGCGGGACAGCAACAGCTCTTTCTTACGCTCATTGCCCTTTTATCCACAAGCACCTTCCTACACAGTGTCGTGCGTGCCTGTGTTCGGAGCGACGGACATGGCAGGGCAAGAGCGTCCGGCCTCAACTCGCCAGAGGGACCGAAAAATATCGCGAAGTTTGGCAACAGACACTTTTGTAACAGCAATGCAACCGGCCCAACCTTTCAGACCCAGACCGTAGCCGCCGCATTTATTTCGAACGGCCCCTTCTCCATGTATCAATAAGTCAAGTCGTCTGCACACATTTGCTCATGCCCCGCCACGGCCTTACTGTTGTGCGTTTGGTTGGGGCATTGGGGCAAGTGGGCCAGACCTGGTAGCCAACCAACAGCCGCGACCTGTTCTTTCCTCATGGGAGCGGGGCGGGTCCTGTTCAGGAAAGAGCAGCAGAAAAGCGGACTGTTTTACTCGCCGGCGTCTGCCTGGGCCCGCTGGCTGTTTCCTCATGTCTTTCGTCCCCTCTTCCCTCGCAAGGGAGAGATGGCGGCTGCTGCAGCTCCATTTTTTTTCCTGCCTCGCCTGTGTCCCGCGGCTTTCGCTCGCTCCCCGTCAGAATCTGCCAGAACCCCTCGTCTAAATGTGAAGCTAGGCCCGCCCTGGCCGTTACCTCACCATTGCACCTTCTTCGGAGTACTCCGCACAATTGGCAGAACAAGAGCAGTGTGCAATGGTCCACACGTATGGAGGAAAGTGCCTTTGTTTTTGACGACCGCGCTTTCCTTTGCATGCAGCTGTGCGGATGGTGCAAAAGGCTAGACAAGAGCCGCCCCCGATCAATTGCAACCGTAGTCTACGAAACTAAAAGCAAACTTACCATCTGACAACATCGCAAGCTCTTTTCCTGCCTACCCACGCCTTTCCCACGTCGACAACCGAGCAACGCCCGGCAAGCAGCAAGCAGCACGCCGCACGCACACGGCTCGCTGTCGTTAACCTCCGCATTTGTGCTTGGCCGGATGCCATCGACGGCTTGCAGTTCATTGTTCATTGCACACCTCGTGGATCATCAGCCTCTAGTCCTTGTGAGGCGATCACTCAAGAGCCTTTACAACGGCCATTGCGACTGCATCCACTGCTTTGTCACATATCCATCCTGCACAGCTTCATTCGTACGTATATCCTCTTCTATCCGTCTCCAACACAGCCCCAGAGGCCTACCTGGCTTCTTCCACCGCCTCCGATCTCGAGCTCGAGCCACCTCCCTTCCTATCCGCCTTCCATATTGCCTGCCCTCTTGCCCTCTGTCGAGCATCTGGCAAATCGTTCTTTTCATCCTTACCGGGCCTGCTCGCCTAGCCTGGCCGCTCGGCTTTCTTTCGTTGCCATCTCTACCTCCTTCGGGCCTATTCTGCCAGTTGATCCCGTTGATTTCCTTGATTTTGCTTTTGTTGGTATTGCAGCCTGCTGCGCCATCACATGCTTTCCTCAACGCGTCACGACATGTTCCGTGGCTGGATATATCGAAACGGTCCAGTATATCCAAGCACATATCGCTGATCTCGCGTGGCCCCGCCCTTCATTCTCCGTCGCCCCTACATTCACAATTGATTTTGGCCTCAACCCCAGAGCAGACCAGCATGGGTCAGATTTGCTTTGCCGCGTCTTCTGGAAGCACTGCCGCCATTCCTTCATTCTGCCCGTTCCCCGACCAATGTCTTCTTCTTTGATTGTCTGGGGATAAGACTCCTTCCCCTTGCCCGAGCAAAACAAACGGGCCAGCGCTCAAAAGAGACAAGTGATACAAGTTGTAGACATGATGTAGGCATTGATAGTACCATGCCATACCGTCCCAACCTTTTTTTTACCCTGTCATTTTTTGCCCAATTACAATCTTCCCCTCCGCCAGCTCCATTGTTGTCGTCGCACCATCTTCTCGTGATGCATAAGTCACATCGAGTTTGTGCTTTGCTGGGAGCAAATTTTGTTATTGTTATTTAAACTGCTTTTTCTTGCCCTGCCAGACATCAGTACCTTAATGGCCAAGTTTGGTAGGCCCCTCTTTTGAACCCCTGCCCCAATTTTTCCCTTTTCTGGCACCTCTTCATTCAACCCCAGGCAAGGCAACCTTCAGTTATTCACTGGACAAATCCGATTTAAGTCGTATTTTGTTGCCTTATTTTGTTCGTTATGTACTGCCCAGCTGCCTCTCCAATCACTGTTTTGACTTGCCAAGATTGGTTTCACTCGGAGTTTTTGAATTCGATGATATCACAACAGGCACGAGGTGCCATCCGAAAGATAATTTTATTTTAGGCCCCATCTTTCCTACCCTCCCCGTATCAACGTACACCCATCAGCGTTCCCGTCACTTGGCTTCCCCAATACTGGCTACCCAGAACCGTGGTTCAATACAGTGTATTCCCTGAGCCTCGCCCGGTGCCTATGTGTGAGATGGACCTAACACAGGCCACAACAAATCCAGTCTTTTCTCCGAAATTATCCCCTTATTGATTTTCATCCCTTTTATTGTTATTTTGAAGTGCCTATTTCACCCTTATTTTTTGCATTCTATTTCTTTCCCGGCGGATATTGCCAGGCAAAAGTTCGTCTGTTTGCCTACAAGTACGTCTGCAGCAGGATTTTGCACGTTCTGATGCGCCTTTGAACCGAGCCGTTGCCACGGGTCGTGCTGGCAGAATGAGAGACTTTTCTGGAAACACCATCCCTATCCAAAGACGCGACGGTGTACGGAGTATTGGTTTACTAACATTCTTAAGGTGTGGCACTTTAGTACGATCCACCTTATTGTGTCTCAGGAATTGTTCATCAACAGCTGTACAGATCCGTTGCCGGGCTAGTCCGAATTAAAGAAATATAAAGGCTGGCGAGCCCAATCGATGCCACGCATCCAAGCAACCCGCCAAAGACACATGCGACGACAGTCTATCACCCTGATTCGATCTGCCTTGGTTCCTACTAAAAGTCTCAGCCCAAAAAGCCCTCTCTGTTCTTTTCACGCTAGTCGGCCAACATCCGGATCACATCTTCCCTGTTCTCATCCCTTTTCAAACGCAGCAATCTCCGTCGCACGTTTGTATTCCGGTCTGGAAGCCATTGACCATCTGCCAAACGCCAAAACATTACGCCAACAAGCACACGAGCTCTGTGTTGCTTCCACAACTGCATCTTTGCAAAGTACAGCCTCTTTTGCATCGAGCACTGAATTACGTGGCTCAAACTTTGTTAGATCCTTCAGCACCGTCTTTACTGCACCACATATTAGTTTTGGGCAGGCCAGCACATTCAGTACCAGCCCAAACCGGACACAAGGGGGTTTCGCTGCCACTGCGGTCCCAAACGGTACTCGCTTTTCTCACCAGTCCCATCCGTTCCCACATAACTCCTCATCCTTTCCTCCTTCAGTTCGCACGTGGAAGAACACCGTGGGCATTTTTTTCTCAGGCGGGAAGGCAACATTATCAACAATGCCACACGTCACCGACAAGCCGACAGCACCAGCTGTGAAATTGGTCACTGAAGCCCTCGATAAGCCGTCTCTTGACAATCGACAGTACAGAGTTATCGAGCTAGAAAATGGCCTTGAGGCGTTGCTGGTGCATGACGCCGAGACCGACAAGGCCAGCGCGTCGCTAGACGTTGGAGTTGGCAATTTTAGTGATGATAATGACATGCCCGGCACGGCCCACGCTGTCGAGCATGTGAGTATTATAGCTCCATCATTTATTTATAATTGGTTTACTAACTGGTCTGCTTAGCTATTGTTCATGGGTACGAAAAAGTTCCCGGAGGAGAACAATTACAACCAATACCTATCGTCAAACTCGGGCAGCTCCAATGCATACACGTCATCGACGTCTACAAACTACTTCTTCGACGTATCTGCGAAGCCGCATGCCGACGAAACTGTGTCTCCTCTATACGGCGCTTTGGACCGATTTGCGCAGTTCTTCATCGAGCCTCTCTTTCTCGAGTCCACTGTGGATCGGGAGCTTCGCGCCGTGGATTCGGAAAACAAGAAGAACTTGCAAAATGACCAATGGCGAATTCACCAGCTAGAAAAGTCACTGACGAACCCGAAACACCCGTTTTGTCATTTCAGCACTGGCAATCTGGATGTTCTCAAAATCGAACCCGAGGCCCGAGGCATCAATGTACGCCAGAAGTTCATGGAGTTCCATGACAAGTTCTACTCTGCAAATCAGATGAAGCTAGTTATCTTGGGTCGTGAACCCCTTGATACTCTAGAGACGTGGACCGCAGAGCTGTTTTCTGCCATCCCCAACAAGCATCTTGCGCCCAATGAGTGGACCGATGTGGTTCCATACAGTCCAGAGCATCTTGGTCTCCAAACGTTTGTCAAGCCAGTCATGGACTCCAGAGACTTAACCCTCCGCTTCCCGTGTCCAGACGAGACACTTTTGTTCGACTCGCAGCCAAGCCGATATGTCAGCCATTTGATCGGGCACGAAGGCCCTGGCAGCATCATGTCCTATATCAAATCGAAAGGCTGGGCGAACGGCCTTGGAGCTGGCATGTATCCCGTCTGTGCAGGCACGCCCGGTATTTTCGAGGTGACAATTCGCCTGACCGAAGAGGGCCTGAAAGAATACAAGGAGGTGATCAAGGTGTTCTTCCAATACGTCTCGCTTCTACGTGAGGGCCCTCCTCAGGAGTGGATCTTTGACGAGACGAAGGGCATGGCGGACGTGGATTTCAAGTTTAAGCAACAAACCCCTGCAAGCAGGTTCACAAGCAAGACTAGTGCCCTCATGCAACGCCCTCTACCTCGTGAACGTCTTTTGAGCGGCATGAATTGTCTCCGCAAATTCGAACCCAGCCTCATCCAGCGTACGATCGATTGTTTGCGGCCGGACAACCTTCGAATCACAGTGACATCGCGCACGTTCCCCGGCGACTGGGACAAGAAAGAGAAGTGGTATGGAACCGAGTATAAGGAAGAGAAAATTCCTGCTGATCTTCTTGCGGCTATTGAAGAGGCCTTTTCGATCACAAAGGCCAACCGCATCGCCAACCTCTTTCTGCCACATAAGAACCTGTTCGTCCCAACGAAGTTAGAGGTCGAAAAGAAGGAGGTCAAGGAGCCTGCGCCCGCGCCCCGTATTATTCGCAACGATGCTCTGGCGCGGACATGGTTCAAGAAAGACGACACGTTCTGGGTGCCAAAGGGAACGCTCACAGTCAGCATGAAGAACCCCATCATCTTCTCCGTTGCTGAGAACTACATCAAGACCAACCTCTTCACCGAGCTAGTGCGTGACGCCCTTGAAGAGTACTCGTATGATGCCGACCTGGCAGGTCTTTTGTACAATGTCTCGCTGGAGCATCGCGCCTTGGTTATAGAAGTTTCCGGATACAACGACAAGCTGCCGGTGCTGTTGGAACAAGTGTTGATCACGATGCGCGATCTGGATATCAAAGACGACCGCTTTGCTATCATCAAAGAACGGGCCACCAGGGCGCTACGTAACTACGGCTTCCAACAGCCATACTACCTGTTGTCCAACTATTTGTCGTGGCTGACATCGCCATTTGCCTACACAGTCGAGGAACTTGCCCAAGAACTGCCGGGCGTTACGGCTGAGTCGATGCGCCGCTTCTCCAAGGAGCTGCTTGGACAGCTTCACATGGAGGTTCATGTCCACGGCAACCTGTACAAGGAAGACGCCTTGAAGCTGACGGACATGATCGAGTCGACGCTCCGGCCGCGGGCCCTGCCTCGTGCGCAGTGGCCCATCTGGCGCGAGGTTGTCCTTCCCCGGGGAAGCAACTATGTCTTTGAAAAGAAGCTGGAAGACAAGGAGAACGTCAATCATGCTCTCGAATATGTGTTGCATATTGGTGATAGGGGTGACCGCACGACGCGTGCACGCACACTGCTCTTGGACCAGCTCACGCAAGAGCGGGCGTGGGATCAGTTGCGGACAAAGGAGCAGCTCGGCTATGTTGTGTTCAGCGGTGCTCGCTCCGGCACCAACACCATGGGCTTCCGGTTCTTGGTGCAGAGCGAGAAGATTCCCCAGTATCTTGAGGAGCGTGTCGATTCGTTCCTGACGGAGTACGCGGAGACTCTGGAGAAGATGTCGGACTCGGATTTCGAAGGGCACAAGCGCAGCCTTATCGCCAAGCGTCTCGAAAAGCCGAAGAATCTCTACCAAGAGACATCGAAGCACTGGGTGCAAATTAACAATGAGTTCTACGACTTTGAATATGGTCCGTAAACAGCCCATTCCTAGCCATTTTCGTTATCCCTTGTTCTCTTTTCTTTTTTGTTTGGAATTGGTTGGGTGTTGCTAACGCGTCTCAAAACACAGCCAAAAGAGACGCCGAAGAAATCAAGCTTGTCACCAAGGCTGACATGATCGAATTCTTCAACTATTACATTCACCCAGAGTCGAAGACGCGTGCTAAGCTCGCGGTGCACTTAGTGGCACAGGCGACGAGCGATGTGACGACGAAGCAGATCTCGGACCTGGTTAAGGACCTCGGCCTTGGCGAGAAGGCTGCCACTCAGGCGACTACGGATCTGCAGGCGCGTTTGAGCGCTGCGAAGTATGACGAAGCCAAGGAGGAGGAGAGCTTCAAAGACTACCTCACAAACACCTTGAGCGTTGCCGCAGACAAGATCGAGGCGGCTGTGGACGCGTGGAAGCAGCTGTCCAAGTACCACAAGGCGATCAGAGGCGCAGAGAAGACCGAGGAAAAGCACAAGAGCGGACCCAAGAAGGCCATCAACGGTACAACACCCGTTCAAATCAAAAACATCCGCGAGTTCCGCATGGGCGTAGCCCTTACGGGTGGTCCTCGCGCGATAACAGATATCAGCGAGTTCCTAGATGTTGACGCGAAGCTCTAGGGCAGGGACGTAATAGAGCTTGAAAGGGCTGACTTTAGCACAGCCCGGAGGGCCAGGCAGGGGACAAGAAGTCCGTGTGCTTGGGGATTGGATGTTAGTTAAAATGTTATTGGAATTTGCTAGATCAATTCATGCCTTCGTTTGTCACATCTTGGCGTCGATAGAGTCAACGTGAAGGCCAAAGCCAGCCGCGTCGAGGCAGACTGTCAGATACGTGCAGTCAGAATAGAGCGCTTTAGCCTGGTACAATCCCTGCAAAGGCGGTCACGCGCAGGGCTAGCCGGCGCTGTCGCAGGCACAAAACGGGCCCAGCAAATCACTCCGCTAAGCCGCACCCTCTCTCAGCTCAAGCATTCTGGGTGAGCTGCGTCGAGGCAAACCGATTGTGTACGAGCTGTGATCCTGGGACCTGTATGCCAGTCTGCAGTCCGCCTTATAGTTCTGGGAATTTTCTTCAGCCGTAGCCAGGCTACTACCTACTTCATGGATGCGATGGACTGGCTTTTTACCTTTGCGTATTCGATTGTTCTCTTCTTCGCTACTTTTTGGTCAACCACCCCGCCCTTCCATTGAATAGGCCTTTCAAGGCCCACAACAGCCCACAATAGCCCACTAGCACCCCACCATTACGCCACTTCTCTAAAAAGTTTCCTCGCCCGTACATTCATATGTATCAAGTCATTGTTATTCTCGCACCGTTCAGTGTCAATAAGAACATTTCCTTGCATCTTTTTTGAAGAGTTTACCTAGGAGCCAGGGCATAGCACCGAATTGTATGCCAAGCTGTAAAAGCTTGTAGGAAAAAGCGACATTGTAGTTTTCGGTCCTCTATGGCCAGTGCCTGCTCACAATGTATCGCATTAGGATTAGCACGGAAGGCACGAATCACATATGTCCTAAGTGGTGTCTGTTGGCTTGTCGTGCCTTCCTTCTCACACCGCCCGTATATCGGCTTCAAATTGTCATCGACCTCCCTTTCCTGACTTCATTGACTCTATTAACTTGTTGTTCATTATTGCATCTGCTGCCGTCTCTCTTTGGTGGTCCTCTTGAACATGAGCACCTTGCCGCCGAGAGCACCAAATTACAGGGATCGACCAGTATTAATACAGTACGATTTACAGAATATCTTACCAGGGAGAAAACGCCAGGCACCAGAGCCCACGAAACATAAGAGCACTTTGGCAGCAACACTACAGCGGAGGGGAAGGCACTGTTCAGCAAAACAATGTAAGAAATTCCGCACAACTACAAAGGGAAAGAGCGAGGGAACTCGAGACAAAAAGTTGTATGTAATCTGACGACGTTGGAACGAAACAAGAGGAACAGCTATACCAAGGAACAAAAACAACCGCCACCAAAGTGAAAAGGCATTCTCGCATTGTCAAGAAAATTCGGAGGGCTAAAAACTAGCCTGGCCACCGACCAAGAAAGCGCGGGACTGACCAGGGAATGAAAGGCATAAAAAACAGCACTAAGAGAGGGAAAACGCCCAGTCCGTTCTTTTTCCCATGGTAAAGACACTGCTCGTGTTCCATCACCGCCACGACTACCTCGAAATCTCTTCCTTCTCGTCTCCTTCCTTCCCCTGTTCCTTCATTCGCCCCTTCCGCGCCAGCGTCTCTTTCCGCTTCGACTTGTCCTATTTGCCGATTTCAGACAGTCTGCCTCGAGCTGCCCGGGCAGCTCACATTCATCACGTCTTCCCTAAAGAAACGCAAGGTTTCACGCCCGTCGAGAAGAGGCGACGACAATACTCTCCTTTCCCGCCCACAGTCCCATCAACGCCCCGGGGAGCCGCAGGACGAACAACCCCCGCTACACCAACTCTCTTTTCCCGTCGCCTCTCACCGTCCCGTCGACATCCGGCAGACCCGACAACAGCACCGACGGCCTGGCGATTTACACAACGGCAGCCGGGATCAGCAGTTGCAGGCCATCCTCCCGTCTACAGAGAGGGAGGACGTCGACCCCGACAAGCGCGAGGGCAAGGATAGGACCCACCACACTGGGGACGACAGCAGTGACGAGCACGACAGTGACAACGAAGACGAAAACGACGACGGCAACAGTAGTGACCTAAACCCCACGTTTTCATTTTCTGCCGCCTCCAACGCCGCCTCGTCGGGGCCGACCACTCCCACATACAGCCGAGCCGGCTCTGTGTCCCTGCCGCCCACACGGACGGCTGCGCTTGGCTACGTCAACGACGATCACGACGACAGCGAGACAACCACCCCTGACGCAGAGGCCGACGATTTCGACGCCGCGTCCAACACCTCAAGCCCGCCGTCGCCTCCTAGTGTCGCCACCGGTAATAACACTGCCGCCAGTGCCACGCTGCTGACCAAGAACAGCGCTGCCAACATCCACAAGACCAGGTCCAGTCGTCCAGCTACGCGCCGCGTAGCCGCCACCTCTGCCTTGCCAACGGATGCTGACACCATTGGCCATCGTCGGAAGATCCAGAAGCACAAAACGAACGCTTCGTCCGCCTCACCCCTTCATCTTTCGCTACCTTCCATTCACTCGCGCCGACCCGCGCAGCAGCAACGGTCCTACGAGCGCAGCCAGTCGCCGCTTGTCCCCATCTCTCACCGCGCCATAATTATGAGCGGCGCCAGCGACGAAACTTTTCACCGATCGAGCTCGCCCTTGAAGCGCACGGCATCCAACATGGAGGAGTCATTCGACAACATCGAATCAGCCTCTGAATTCCAAGCCAACTCATCCCCACCACAGCCCAGCTCCTCGTCACCGCTGCGGACGAACACCAAAGAAGACGATGTTGAAATGGCGACCGCAGCACCCAGCAACGAGGCAGACGCTGCAGATACGGAAGCAGCCCAAGTCGAGGCGGACGTACCCCCGATCGAAGAACAGATACGCACCATCGAAAATCTTGTCAAGGACTTTAATACGGGAGAGTTGGAAGAGGGCACCGCCGCGTACCTTGTATCGCGCAGGTGGCTTGCCCGGGCACAGGCGCTCGGCAGCGGCGATGCGGCCAAGGCCGCCAAAGAGGTGCCCCAGGGCTCACTTGGTCCAGTCGACAACTCTGACATTGCAGGCGGTGTCGTTGATGACATTGATGGCGGCAAGACTGTCCGGTTAAAGGCTGGAACCAGCCAGGAGGACTTTGAATACTTCTCCAAGGAAGCGTGGGATCTCCTCGTCTCGTGGCACGGCCTGGCCAAAGGCCAACTACCCATTATTCGCGTTGCACACAACACAGCGCCGAACTCGATGATCCCGAACGTCCAGTACGAGTTACACCCTCCCGTCTTCACTCTGCACCGCCTATGGTCCGCCGTGAGCACCATCTCCCATACCAAGGAGGTGCCGGATGCTGCCCAAGCGGCACCCGTCATCATGTGCACGAGTAACTATAATATCCAAGGATTCCTTCGCAAAGCCAAGACGCTCCTGCATATCCCAATGGAGCGCCATGTGCGTATGTGGAGCGTACCACGGAAGTTAGCAGCCAGCAACACCCCGTCCACCCCCGCCCCCACTGCGGCGACTACCGGTCTTGGTCCATCGTTGTCAACTCCACCCGACTCCCCGAGACTGACGGGCAAGGGCGGTGACGCCAGTGCAGTGTCCAACCCGCAGGACTCGTGGTCTAAGCTGCTCCTGGAAGTGACTGACTTTATGATGCTCCAGCCCAATGTGGAGCGTGAACAGCTCTCCCAGGTGAAGGACCTCACCCACGACAAAAAGTACAACGGCCGCCAGACCCTTGCCTTCATCTCCATCACCGTCGACCAGACAATCGTCCTCGACGAAAACGTCGAACGCAACCTCTGGGTGTCCACGTACAACCCCAAGACGGGCGGCAAGGACAAGGGGAAGGCCAACACGGCCTCCTCCACATTGCCTGCCGTCGGCAACCTTGCCAACACATCCGCCTCCCGAACGGGTGGCGCAAACAGCACGGCAGCGAGCAGCGGCCGCAGCAGTCCCAGCCATGTGGGACCTGTGACCCGGGGCCGAACGAAGCAGAAGTCCGGGCGCACTATGGGTTGCGTTGGTCTTGGCAACCTCGGCAACACATGCTACATGAACGCCGCCTTGCAGTGCCTCCGCAGCGTGGAGGAGCTCACCAAGTACTTCCTTGTCCACGAAAACGAGGCCGAGACCAACCATTCGAACCCGCTCGGCCATGGTGGCAACGTTGCCAATGCATACGCATTTTTGCTGGAAGAGATCTTTAGAGATAATGTCCCCATGTCTATCGCACCGCGGCAATTCAAGTCCACCATTGGCCGGTATGCTCCCGCCTTTGCTGGCTATGGCCAACAAGATTCGCAAGAGTTCCTCGGCTTCTTATTAGATGGTCTCCAGGAGGACCTGAGCCGTGTCAAGAAAAAGCCCTACATAGAGAAGCCCGACTCGACCGACGAGATGATTAACAACCCTGTCGCGATCCGGGAGATGGCCGAAAAGGTCTGGGATATCACGAAGCGCCGTGACGATTCCATCATTGCCGATCTCTTCACCGGAATGTACAAGTCGACCCTGATCTGCCCCGTCTGTCAAAAGGTCAGCATTACCTTTGATCCTTTCACGAACTTGACACTGCCTCTGCCGATCCAAAATGTGTGGTCCAAGACCATTCGGTTCATCCCGCTCAACGACCGCCCTGTCTACCTAAATATCGAGCTGGATAAGACCAGCAGCGTGCGCTCCTTCAAGGAGTTTATCAGTGTGCGTGTCGGAGTACCAGCGGACCGTCTCGTGGCCGCAGAAGAACTTCGCGATAACATCATCCGCGTCTACGACGACTTTGAGTGCGTCTCGGAAGAGATGGCAGCCAACGACTCTGTGCTGGTCTACGAGGTGGAGCGCACACCCACCAATAACAGCGGCAGCAAGATGCCCCGGAAAAAGCCACGGTCCATGCTCTTGATTGACGACATTGAACCGGAGGTTCCGTCCTGGGACAGCCCCATGGCTAAGAGCCTTCTTGTTCCCATCATCCATCGCTTTGACCCCAA